CCTCGTTTCTTACATTCATAATAAATGTTAGGTGATGGAGTTCACACAGTCAGACATTTTCTGAAGTTTATCTATAATTATTACCTGCAAATCGAGGCGCGTGAACGGCAAACAGTACAAGAATTTGGGTTTGTTTGGAACAATATGATACGTAATTGAAATTAAATTAATGGATTAACTGGGTAGTGCAGTGATTTCTGTGATTTGGGGCAAGATACTTACTAACTTTTCCTTCTGTGTATGTGAAATACAGTAAAGTCACTCTGCTTTAACCTCTTCATCAAAACTCGTTACTTTTCCTGTCCAATCTGGATCAATTCGGTGACAGGCGGCCGTCACATAACCATGTGTTGAACACGACAGCAGCTCAATCAGCTCGAATCAGCAAGAGCTTCACATCTATCTTCACTGCTTCATATAGTTACTGCAGGTATGTTTTGCCTCGGGAGGTGGATGTTGTCTTATCTCTATCACCTCACAGAAACCAGCGGTAACGACCACGCTGCATGGTCAAATCTTAAGATGGCCGCCATGACAGCTGCAGCACTAAGTGAGTCTGAGCAAAAACGGTGGTGATGCCTGGGACTGAAGATGATGGTTGTGGGTTTGATTCTGATACCATGCCACTTGTCTTGCCATTTTATTTAACTTCACCTCTGCAAACAGAAACTTATTTTAGAGAAGCCAACATGTTTTACACTGGAGACAGAAGAAAGCCGATATCGATGTCTTCTTTGTGAGATTCCCACACTGCAGACATTTCTGTTCATATTTGGGATTTCTTGTGCCTAATAAAAAGTTCTCTGACTCGATAATAGGGTTTATAAGCCCCTCAGATTTACATGGGTATGTTTCAGATAAAGACAGGAAGACAAAAGTTATAGATGAACAGAAACACGACTCACTGATGTGCTGATGTCCGTCAGCAGGGCCGATATTTTCCAGTCATGATGCTAAACCGATGCATCGGTGCATCCCTGATAAATATAACTCACAGTTTCTCACTTTTGTTACGATTGTTGATGATTTGTTTGCTTGGCTTTGCAGCTATTGACACAGTTGGATTGTGGAAATTAAATGGAAGCATCAATGCAATGAAAAAAATATTTCCTACAAATAATGGCATGTTATTTCTACAGTCCTCTGAAACTTCTAGAATGAAGTTAAAGTTAAATATTGAACGTATTTCTAAATACTGGCTGATGACTTTCACTTCATGGTTCCGTTGAGATAGTCATGAAGAAGTAACAGAATGTTTATGATGGGTTGCGTACAAAAAGACCTCCATATTGCAGGTGCGTCATAAAATACGACCTTTTTATTTTGCTTCTGTACATTTTTTGTCTAATCGTTCACAAAGAGGGAGATAAAATAGGGTTTTTAATATGAATCCCAGAGGACAGAAAGAGCAGGGTAAATAACGCTGGAATATTTCTGTAATTTTTCTTTGTTTTAATCATAAACTGTAAATTCCTGCACTGCTTCAAAAGCTTTGAAATGACTGAAACGTCTTGTATGTATTCCAGTGTTGATTGATGGTTTCATGCCCAAATATAAATAAAAACATACATGTGTAATTAGCTGAATGTGAGTGTCTGACTGTATCAGCTCTGGGTTTTCATGCTGGAGATGAAGCAGCAGCTTTATTCCTCCTCTCGCCGGCTTACTGAGTTGACACATTAGCATACATGCCTTATGTTGGGTGGTTTTTTTCTCTGTCCTCTTTTCATCTGTGCAGAGCCTGAGGCTGAGAGTGCCACTGTGCAGCTATAAGCTTTGTCACCCTCACATGGGGCCGCTGGCTAGCCACGCCAGCTCTCTCTTCAGTCCTCTCATTTACACCCGGCATAATTAAGAGCTCCAGCCCTAAAAAGCTGGTGACTCCAGTCGAAACAACTCTCAGAGGATTTGACACTGAAGCTGCCAAAGAGAGGAGTCAGAAATAACTGTGCTAACTTTCAGAGAGGGAGACTTCCTGTTTAGAGAAATAACAGCTCAGAGAGAAGATATAATAAGCACTAAGAGTCAGCTGAGAGGACTCAGACGCAAGATAGTGCAGTTTAAGACATGGTGACCCTATTAAAGCTTTGTATTAGCACAGACGACCCTCTTAATTAGAGCAGTTTTCTGTGAAGACATGAAACATATCATGGATAGAAACACCAACACTGCAGAGATACGAGGGGGGGGAATCATGAGTGGCCCCATAATACGGTATTATCATGATACTTGGGCTAGATACAATATTATCACAATACTTGGGCCACGGTAGGATATTATCACGATACTTGGGCCAATATACGATATTATCACAATACTTGGGCCAATATACGATACTATCATGATACTTGGGCTAGATATGATATAATCACGATACTTGGGCCACGGTAGGATATTATCTCGATACTTGGGCCAATATACGATATTATCACAATACTTGGGCCAATATACGATACTATCATGATACTTGGGCTAGATATGATATTATCACGATACTTGGGCCACGGTAGGATATTATCTCGATACTTGGGCCAATATACGATATTATCACAATACTTGGGCCAATATACGATACTATCATGATACTTGGGCTAGATATGATATTATCACGATACTTGGGCTAGATACAATATTATCACAATACTTGGGACAATATATGATATTATCATGATACTTGGGCTAGATATGATATCATCGTGATACTTGGGCCATGGTACGATATTATCACGATACTTGGGCCAATATATGACGTTATCACGACACTTGGGCCAAGATACAGTATTATCATGATACTTGGGATAAATATGATATTATCACAATACTTGGGCCAATATACAATATTATCACGATACCTGGGCCATGTAACGATATTATCTTGATACTTGGGCCACTATACAGTATTATCATGATACTTGGGCTAGATATGATATTATCACGATACTTGGGCCACGGTACAATATCATCACTTTACATGGGACACGGTACGCTATTATCACGATACTTGGGCCACTTTATGGTATTATCCTGATACTTGGGCTAGATATGATATCATCACGATACTTGGGCCACAATACGATATTATCACAATACTTGGTCTAGATACCATATTATAACAATACTTGGGCCAATATATGATATTATCACCATACTTGGGCCACTTTATGGTATTATCATGATACTTGGGCCACTGTACGATATTATCACTATACTTTTGCAGTACAGTGAGTATTGCGATACCATACATTTGGATTTATACATTTTTTTTCAACTGTTGAGCTAATTAAGAATTTGTCTTTCCTTTATGTTTGTCTTATTTACAAAGTAATTTGTTTTTATGTAGCACATCTTGCAAACCTTATATATATATTTGTTGTACTAACTCTATGATGTCACCTCTGCCAACCTCACTGGACAAACAGTTGATTTTTTTTTCTCATAATCATAGATTTTACTTCATATTAGCAATTGATTTGAAAAATCGATACTTGGTAAATGAGATGGTACGATATATTACCAGACAAACTATCCCAATACTATACTGTATCGATTTTTTCTCCCACCCCTAAGAGATACTTTCTTTTCCACTTAAATTTGTATGGAAACACTTATACACAGAGGTAAACACAACCTCATGCTTTGTTATAATGTAAGCAGGGGGTTGGCATAGAGTGAAATTTTCCACATGGCCTCTGGGCAAATGGCTTTTCAAGATTACTGAACCCACCATTTCAACTACTGACTCAGGATCATCACCTTTGATTTGGAAAATAACAGTCAAGAATTTACTCTCAAAATGAAGAAAACAATACTGTCTATGGCAAAGTAAGTTAATTGGTAGACTCTATTCCATTTTATGTGTAATTAAGTGAACATCTGACGACTGCAACAAAACACTGGGACTGTAAGAAGGGTTTTGTTACCAGAAATCACAGTATACCATTAAAAGCTATCCTTGCTCCATCTTTACAATCCAAGAACCTCACCCAGTCATCTTCAAAATAGAACAACTCAGAGTGTATATCACACACATTCAACAAAGTTAACCTACTTCTCCCAATCTATTGAAATACTAGCGCTGTAAAGTTGGTCACATTAAATTATAGATTAAAGTAAATTTAAGATTGTGGGGCCTTGAATAGTTTCCACACCACCAGCCTGAGAGGATCTGACTTGTTTTTTTCAGAGCCGTATTAACGAGAGAAAGGAAAACAGTTCGCTTCCTATTACTCAATCCACTGATAAAACAATGATGTTACAGAGAATAGGATCTTTTCCAACAAACTATCTCTGTTTTCTAACTTTGGCCCTGCAGAAAGAGGATAAAAATAAACGCTGAATTCGGAGAGATTCATACGCTCTTGTTTGCGAATGATCAGACGATAATTGGAGTGAGACTGTACTCCAAAAATCCAGGGATATTTCCAGCCTTGGTCAGAATTCAGCTGATTTTCGTCTTGTGCACCCAATTCATATTTGACATTTACACACTGTAATTATCATCTTCATATCAACCAAAATAGTCATAGTCCAGAATCTGGCAATTAAAGAGAGCCATACAGCAGCAGCAGCAGAGTTCGAATGTAGAGTTTTGCAGCTCTGCATTCATGTCAAAGACGCTTGTGGCAGCTTCGAAAAGAAACTGTGAAAAAATAATGATTTAAATTCTGCAGTTTTTCAGGCAAAGAGAGTCACAACACCCGACTGAATTAAAAACAAGTCAGAACAGGTTCTAGTTTAGTCTCTGGAGCAGGTTTATGTTGGCTGGTATCTTTCCGTTTTTCAGCAGTTTCAGGTGATTGTAACGCAGATCTTGTCTGGCAGGAAACAATGCTGTGAGATAAAGTGGGATTGTTCACGACAGCACAGCACCCATTTTTTTTTAACTTGAATAATAAATTTCTGAAAACACAAGGACCTTAGTGCTGTCATAATGATAATGTCATATTAGCTCATTAAAATCAGCAGGAAAACAACTTTTGAACCGTCCTCCATCTCCTCACCTGTCTTTCCCTCTTTGTTACAGACTGGATGGGGTGGAGTCACGTCTCTAAAGTAGGACAGCGTCTTAAAGGGACATGAGACCATAGTCTACCTACACACATCCAAAAACAACTTTGAGTTGTTTTTTTTTGACACCAATACATTAGGGTTGGAACGATATGCTTTCCTTCCTGATTCGATTCCTCAATGAGTTTTTGGATGCCGGTTTGATTTAAATTGCGATTCTATGATATTGTCGTTTTTCTTGATTTTTAGTCTGCATTTTTAACACCAGTGAAACAGCTGAATAATTATGTTTGTCTACTGACTATTTCAAGAACCATATTTCCCCAAAAAGTACACATCACGTTAGTCAGTTTTTAAGATTTATTCTTGTATTTAAAAAAAAAAATCGATTTTTGAACAAAAAAAATGGATTTAAAAATTGTAAAACAAAAAATTGCGATACTTATGTGAATTGATTTTTTTCTCACACCCCTAGAATATACCGACTTGGGCAAAATGACATAGGTTATTGTTGTAATTTTTTGTTTATCGCTCAGCCCTACAGTGGACTGTGGGACTCTGAGGAATCTTTAACGTTTGATTAATCGATGAAATGGATGTTTTAGTTATCATCACGAGTGTGAGTCATTTCTGCCACCTTTGTTGTCTCCACCAGCTCAACACGTACTTGCATGTGGAGGCAGTTTTTTCCGGTTTGATACCTCACAATGAGCAGAAATGACTATTTTAAAATACAGTCAATAGTATTAACCAAGGGGGTGTCCGGTTTACTCAGTCTGTTACTGCTTCAATCCCACTCATGCTGGTGTTCATGTCAGTTGGACAAATGAATTCAGGACGATCAAATGTCCCTCCTGCATTTCCTGATTCCAGTCTGCGGTTGAACCTCCTATATTGTACAATCCAATAATCCAGGGGATAATCAAAGAGGCCTGTATCACACACCGCCAGCCTGTGCCCTCCCTTATTATTCCATCAACAAGAGAAGCGCCACTAACAGTAAGATTATCGCCAACACATGAGTAATGTATACACTGAGCTGCTGGCAGGCAGGCAGGCCGAGTAACAACACGCTCACAACCAGAACACAGGCTGGAGAGATCCCCCGCATCGGGGATTAAAGAGGTGACCCTTATTTCCCAAAGGAGCACTTACATCCCATCTCTCTACAACTGCACCCCCCCTCTCCAAATCCCCACTGAATACATGATCACTGCTGAGACGGCGACCTGGAGGATTGGATGTAAACATCCCAGAGAGAGAGAGAGAGAGAGAGAGGAAGAGGAGCCAGCTCCTCGGAGCTCCTCTATCAACTTGACGGGAGGTGTTATTTCTTAAGCAGGCAGCCAATATCCATGCGATCTGTCAAGGACGGGCAAAGGATGGCGAAGGTAAGACGGGAGACAGCTCCAGACGGCATAATGTCCTTGGAGGGTGCACATGTGCATAAATACACCCACAAACACACATATGCTTACACCAGCCTTGAGGTTTCTGCACAATCCAACAATAAGACGGATTAAAGGCATCCATCCTGGAAACCACATGACATTACAAGACGGGGATTTTTCTCGGGATTGTGTAGAAATGATCAAATCACAGCATAAGAGCGAGTGAAAGGCAACCAATTACAGCGTTCAAGATTACACTTTCACCTTAATCTGAGCAGGTGAAGGAAGAAGAAATATGAATCATTGATCTCACATCTGCCACTCAAACTCCGCTCACATTACTTTGTACCGCCGTCATCTTCAAATTAAACCGTAAATGAAACACATATAATGACTTTTAATCACATCAGAATCAGCACGAGTTTAGCTTCTTGTGTTGGTGGCAGTTTAAGAAGTTGGAGGCTATGAGTAAGAAAACTATTTCATTATTGTTCATTGTTCTAATTATGAATTTTTGTTTGTTAAATGTTGCGTTCATCTACTTATAAAGGCTTACAGATTCCAAGGGGACAGTATACCGTAACATTCAGACGAGAAAAACGAGCGGGAACAACGGCTAACAGTAGGCGTCCATCTTGGTTTTCCGACCTGTTCACTGGAATGCCATCAACTCCGGTGTAACGTCATTCCCTGCTCTGACAACCGACTTCCAAGGTAACTAAAACGCAGCATCAGACTCAGCCTCATTTTGTCTTATCAGACCCGCTCCCATCACATCTTTAACCGTATGGGAGACAGCCTTGGCTTCCTTTAAAACTTCCTTTAACAGGCAGAAACCTCGAGCAGAACCAGACTCATGGAGGACAGCCATCTTCCACTCCTGGGGCCTGTTTTACGAAGCAGGTTCAACCTAGCGAGGTAGCCTTGGAGCTACCTCGCTCAACTTAGCGTGGTGGCCAGCGGTCTCGCTAAGCGGTTTTACGACGCTGGTTATCAACCTCATAAGTGGATCCAGCTCTGCTATGAGCGCGTGCACATATATAAGGCGGAGCCCGCCGCATCTGACCAATCGCGAACATGGATCAGTCTGGAGCGTCAGAGCAGGCTGGAGAGTGAAGGACCGCAGACTTTACAAACGAGGAGCAGGAGACGATCATGAGAAAGTATGAAGAATTGAAAGCTACCATAAACCTCAAAAGCAACACCGTCGCCGCTGCAAAAGCACGGAGGGAAGGCTGGCAGAAAAGTAATCTTTGATGCCATTCTCACCCTGAAATAGCACTGTTCAACATGCGCTTTTAACTAAGGTGACAGTCCCCGAATTGGATGATCTGTCCCCGGCTAAAGCTGTCCCCGAAAATGTCCCTGATTTAAGCGTTTCATGAATGAGAACAAAAATGTTGCATGTGGGCTCGAACAACGGTTGTTACAGTGGGTAGGAAGCACAAGTTAGCAGTCCTGAACAACAGTATTTACGGGGTTATTATAAGGGGCGTGCGCTGCTACTAAATAGTACCGAGATGTTGATCACGCAGCCCATGCCCATTCATTCCCAAGATAAATCATTCATTTGTTCATTCCTATCGTGTTTACATGTTTTGTGTAATATGTCGGCCATATGAGCCTTCCATAAAGGCGGTCATCCGGAGAAAACTCTCCCTGAAAACTCTCGCGAGCCGGAGTGCTCCTCCTCGAACAATGCGAGCACCGAGGTCTATAGGATCCTCCAAGAACGGACAAGCCGTTTTTCGAGAGAGCTCATTGGTCAGTGGGCGGGGTTTTTATACTCTTTGAGTTCAATCTGGAACTTAACCTGCCCCGGAGCAGGTTAGCCGTTCAGCATATATTGCTATGGAGACTCGCCTCGCTAAGAAGTGAACCCGCGTCGTAGAACAGGAAACCCCGAACTTACCCTCGGAGTTACCTCGCTAAGCAGTAATCCTGCTTCGTAGAACAGGCCCCTGGTTGTGGTAGCTCCACTAAAGTTATCCACACTCTGGAAACAGACTCAGTCATCCTGATGTATTGAGCTCAAAACTGACTGGTTTCAGATTCTCCACAGTGATTCAGTACAAAGTGACCGGATCCACATACATATGGCACAACTTTGTCTATCAGAAGAGTTCTGGCTCCCATCTGTAGTCCGAGGATTGTTATTCAGATTCTGTCTGTGCACAGAAAAAACTGTCCATTTGGAAAGAAAAAGAGGTGGTCATAATGCAATCACAGCTGCCATCAAACAGTCATCCAACACCAATTAAGCTTCATTTTTACTCTATACGCAAAAATCTGTGTGCAAGTACATCCGTCCAAATGCTGAGACCTCTCCTGTCTGGACTGGACGTCCTTTGTCCTTCTGATTATATCTCAGCCGGCTTCATGAGTTTTCTCAAATCGGCACTTTTTGTAGCCAGCTGTTCAAAACATGGGCCGTCTTTAAATCTGATTTTTATTCCCACTCTTGATTGTTAATTTCACAGTTAGGTTTTTAATGTGCCTGTAAACCACTTTCCTGCACCTCAGTGAACATTTAATGATCCAGTTTAAGTCAAAAAGTGAAACCACAGAGCTGGAGGGGTTTATCTCGCCATCACTGGACATGATTCAGTCCTTTTGGGGACTTTCTCTGCTCTCTCTTTCCAACCCACTCACTCCTGGGACACAAAACATTGTTGGGTCATCATTCTTCAAAAGTCAAAGCCGGTCCCCTCTCAGTCCTGGAGTAGCAGCAAGTTATTACCAGGGCCAGAGGGGGATGTCAGAGGCCAGTACAACTGTTGAGCTGGAAGTCCCTGTTTCACGGCTTGTTGCTCCCACCTCTGCGACCCCCCAGTGCAGGGTGCATGGCTGCGGGCAAGGACACCACAGAGAGTCAAGTGTGTGTGTGCTGATGTATGTGTGTGTGTTCTTTTTAAATGTGTGTTTGAATGTAATCAACAGAGAGAGGATCTCTGCACAGCAAAGGGAGCGTAGGCATTCAGTGCATGTGTGCTCGCTAATTGAGCTTTATGTAGAATAATTAACAAAGTAACCCTAAGGTGGACGCCATCACTGAACTGCATCACGACATTAATGTGTGGAGACGGGACGATGAACAGGAATGAGGGGGCGGACATGTTAGGACTGGGCGATATGGCCTCAAATCAATATCAGGATATATTGAGCAGTTCTACTCTACTCTACTCTACTCTACTTCAGCCGCTCCAACTTTTGAACCGTCCTCCATCTCCTCACCTGTCTTTCCCTCTTTGTTACAGACTGGATGGGGTGGAGTCACGTCTCTGACGTAGGACAGCGTCTTAAAGGGACATGAGACCATAGCCTACCTACACACATCCAAAAACAACTTTTATTTATTTTTTTGACACCCAATATACCAATATGGACAAAATGATGTCGGTTATTGTCGTAAATTTTGGTATCGGTAACTTTTGGTTTTATCGCCCAGCCCTAGTACATGCTCCCTCACAAACCTGGAGCAGCTTCCTGCAGAGGCGAACAGACAGCAGGAGGTGTGACCATCCAGTCAAAAAAATTAACAGGAGGGTGATGCCTCCTTAGCTAATATGACGTGTCACACCTACCACCAAGTAGGGATGGGAATTATTAAGAATTAAGCGATTCTGATTCCATGATCGATGCTGCTTATCGATAAGATTCCTTATCGATTCTCACTGAGTGAGAAAAAAGACACTACAAATGGGTTTGTTTCCATCAACTCTTTAATATTGCCACCTTTGGATGGAAGGTTTAGCATATCTATGCGCTAATCATTTGTTATGTGACCCTAACGTTTGACCTTAAATCTGCTCACAGCTCGGTGACATTCGTTTGTCTTCACCTCGCTCATTTTACTCTTTCCTGCCTTGATAAAAGGGGCTGCTAAAGGTGCGCAAGAGTTACCTGCTGCAGCCTCTGAGCTAGCATGACTCTGGCAGTCATCGTCATCTAGATGTAATTTAGGAAATGGAGAGTATTTATAATGTGAAAGGGGTTAAAATGGCGCAAACATCGACATAACAGACAGGACCTGGAGGAGTTAAAAGTTACCTTCAACACCAAGACGTTAGCTCTGCTCCTGCTTTTCTCTGTACCAGTCTCGCCTTCGCTAAGTAGCGTATCAAACGCGTTACACTTCTGCGAATTATTTGCATGCTTGATGGACCAATGTTTCTGCATATTAGAGGTATTTCCCCCCTTTGACGAAATTAAAGCTTTGCAAGTGATGCGAGTCGCCCCGCTATTATCTTTTCACATGAAATACAGACAAACTCTGGAGTGATTTTGCCTCGACATCATGCTGGAAAGTTCTGAACTAAAACACACTTCTTGTGAACTACGTCATCACGCACAAGAGGAACCGATAAGCAGAATCGTCAAGGAGGCAGACGAACAATTCTTAGGAATCGAATCACTGGGAAAAGAATCACTCTAAAAAAAAACCAATTATCGATTCTCATCTCAAACACCAAGTGACACTTCTGAGGAAAAAGATGACATGTCTGCGATAAAAGAAAAAATACATATATTTCTAATAAAAGTGTGTCATGTTCCTGGAAATCAGTCTCTACAGTCGATCCGTCTTGGTGCCTCCTTTAGCTCTTTACGTGTCTTGGATTCATCGACCAAACAGGACTCAGTTTGCGACTGCAAACATCAGCATCCTGGAGTCGGTGTGAAATGAATTCATCAGTAGTATTGAGGATTTCTGGGGATGTATAATTCATGTCACACACCTGTTTTCTCAACAGAGCCCCCCTCCCCTGGCTCCCTCTTTGTTTTGTATTCTGCCATGTTCCTTCCTCATGCTATAATTATTCATTACAAGGGCCTTCAATCCACTGTGACAGAGCTCCATTATGATGAAGTGGGCTTTGTTTGAGCTTGCACAGCTGGACAACCTGAATGTGGAATAAATCCAGCTCTGCGGGTGTGACGCTGCTCTACTTACCACCTTCTCTTGCAAAGTGAAGTCCCTGTCATTTTCAGCCTATTTTTTATGCTGATGCCTGGATCAAAAATAAAGTACATCTGCACTAGAGGCACGGCGCACTCTAACTCCGCCCACAGCTGAAGGGGAGCGCCATCATGGGCTTTTCTTGACTTTGCACAGAGTGGAAGTGCCTCTAGTGGTGCTTTAAGTAGAAAAATGTCTTATGGTGAGATACACTACCCGAGCTCAGATCCAGATCTAACATTAGCTGCGTTTACATGGGCACAAATAATCAAAAATTAAAATGCATCATGTAAAGATGTCGATCGGAAGATCCTGATCAAATTCGGCTCAATCGGAAAGTAATTGTATTCCGATAGAGAGGGGTGGTTTATTCCGATCGTTCTTCTGAAACTTCGTCCATGTAAACACTTATTCCGATCTTGACTCTGTAACCTGAATCGGTCTTCCCTCTTCATTTACTGAGGTCAGTACAGGAGGTTTTATTATTAACACTCTAACCACAGGTGTCGTGTCTGCTCCTCCAATAACAAGGCGTACATACAGCATAGCAATGTCACATCTGTACGCACAGAACAAACTTTGACAGCACAGTAAAATAAGTAAGCAAGGGCGCCATCTAGTGACAACGTTTAACAGAGGGAAAATACTTAATTGGAGGAAGTGAGTCACTACGGCGTTTGTTGTAGGGTTGAAACGATTCCTCGAGTACCTCAATTACAAAAAATGATCGAGGAATATTTTCTGCCTCGAGTTCTCCTCTATGAACTCAAATCGTCACTGTTTAACACAGATTATTTTCAAGGTGACACAATGCACTTAAGTGACCACGGCAGAAGGAGGAGAAAAATAATGATGAGAAACCTAATTAAAAGTTCTTTACAGGAACTTTAACCAAGAAAAATTACGTTTTGTCCAATTACTCGTTGGAATATTCGGTAGAATACTCGATTACTAAAATAGTTGATAGCTGCAGCCTGAAGTACGTCGATAACATTCATTATAGTTTATCCAATCCATTTTAATTGTAAAGAACACCTCAAATAAACACAAAGGTTTCTAAAGAGCTGCACAGTAAAATAAAAACAACAAATAAAGACAAATCATCTACTGTAAGAACATGTCGCTCCTCCTGTGCTCTCTCTCTCTCTCTCTCTCTCTCTCTCTCTCTCTCTCTCTCTCAGAGCAAACAATCCATCAATCATGTGAGAAGTGCAAACATGAACAAAGCTGTACCGATGGAGACGACAGTGTAAGTCAAAGCAAGTCAAATCTCAGAAGTCTGTGTTTTTCCACTATTGACGTTTGTATTTGGCTAATGCTAATGTCAATAATAAGAAAGCAGGTTGGCTGACGGTTGATACATAACGCTGATATAACACAGAATAATTGTATTTTTTTCCCTTTTTGTATTTTGGATTTAATAAAATATAAACATTTCATGCACATTACGATTTAATATCCATGTTTATTTTGGTCTGTAATAAATTTTAGATTTATGAAGTCAGAGTATTGAGTTTGTGATGCCGCCATGTGTTTGACACCAAAGTTTCAGAGACCTCCTGCACTCGAATGCAAAGACTCCAAACTCATGTCTTATACGTCCCAAAGCGCTGCCGTGTCTCCCTGTTTTATGGTGTGGCTGGTAACTCCATAATGTAGGAACATTTCACAACCCTGAAACCAAACGACTAAAGCAGTGAACACTGGTCCTCAGAGCAAATAAACACCTCTCAGAGTTGTTTATTGTTACTCATTAATAGTTAACTTTGCAGAGGAATTGGATTCCAGCGGGGTGCTGCAGGACATTTCTTATCAAGTTGATGCACTGTATTTTTTTACATGATGGAAAAAACACACATCAATCTAACCGACTGTGGAATGAGTCATCCTGAAGGTAATTAGAGCGGCTGACACACCGGAGAGCTGTTTATTAACTCTTCTCCACAACAGAGAAGTCCTCCAGTTTGGAGCTGCTGAAGAAGAAGCTGATTACCCAAAACACAAAGACACGCTGCTGTGAAATTCAAGTAGGGAAAGACTGTTTTTCTTCTTCAGCGTGAAACAGAAATCTCAGATATCCTCCTCTCTAATGTGTCCAACAGGTTCAAACCCTCCTGGTAGGTGAACGTGAGCAGTAATGAGTGCAGAGGGCAGGGTTCAGCACATGAAGGAGGCCGATTTGTGTCCTCCACAGGCAGCCAGGCTGCCGGTCTCCTCTCTCGGGGGGTCACACAGATCAGAGGTGGCCTGCTGCTGCAGCTGCTGCACAGCAAATGGGACTCCGGCACCTCGATTAGGAGAGGAAGGTAGAGGGGGGTTAATGTTGTGCAGGTTTGATATGAAGGGTTATTAACAGCCTGTCTGTTCATCAGTGTCTTGAATTTCTCTTCTGGGTAGTTTTTGCTTGGGAGGAAATGGCAGGGGAGGGCATCGGAGGCTGAAATGGTACCAGCTGGGTAAGCATAATGTTACACTAAATGGGTCAAATGAGACAGCGCTCATTACTGGAAGGAACTGAATCGAGTGTGGGTGGTTTGCCCCCCAACCAAATGTGGGACAACCTGAGTGTCTTCATGTAAGCTGCTGCTGCTGCCTCCGCCCAAGTCAGGAGGAGTCTAAATACTTCACCTAAACGGACCCTGGAGGATCCCCCCTGACTCCTGGTACACAGGATACTTAGGCAGGTGCATTAGACGCTTTAGACTCTCTTCACACAGAGTACCGCGATGCATGGCTGCAGTTTGTGCAGCTTTACCGATTATTTGAATGATGTTTTCTGTGACGGTCACAGTCAGTACATTCACAGACCTGTTTCTCCAAATGAAAAAACAAACCAAAGTGGATGTACTCCAAAAACCTGACAGTGGCATGCTCTGAAAATTCAGATTAATGTAATCGTTCATAGAGCAGCTTTGTATTCCTCCTACTACACATGCATATTTATCTATTAATGCTCGATGCAAAACATTTAAATGAAAATCTATTCAGTTGAGCCAGAGCATCAGGAGTTCTCACAGTAAATCGCAGCAACAACAGAAAAGGCAGAAAAAGTAAAGAAACCCGAACATGTAGACAAACTTATTTCTCATCATAAGAACACGTGTAAAAAAACTGGACACTGTGAGTCTGAAATATTTGTTGGTATATTGTTGTCGTTCTTCTGTTTCAGTAAATCTACGTTAAGTCTGAGTCCAGTTCTGTATGACAATTTCTAGGGATGAACGATTATTGCAAAAACAATTATCACAATTATTTTGAATGATATTTAAAACACGATTAATGAACACGATTATTCATTGATTTTGAAACTTGAATATTTATTGAACCACCAAAAATTAACTTTGAATATAAACTAAAAGAACAGCCAGAAATAAACTAGTAACAAGTAAACAAGTACAAAAATGTAATTAATCAGCTCTGTAATGATCGAAGACAAATACTTGTTTATGCTAATACTCGGCATGCGCGCATGCTCTGCTGTGCAGCGCTCATGTGCGCACGCAAATACTGATACATATGAGTGAGTTAGAGCCACTTTCAATAAATCAATAAATAAATGAACTAATTTTTAAGGTGTGCCAGCTTTTATTAAGCCGTGACGATGAGCCAAGATCAACTGCAGAAAGAAGAAACCCTGAAGTTGGTCGTGTTTCCTCGGGGAGCAGAAACGACAGCATGAAAAACTTTGCGAACAATTTCCAAATCAAATAAAATCAAACTTTATTTATAAAGCACTTTCCAAACGAGAGGAAATGAAGCACAAAGTGCACAACAGAAATGCAAAGTTCCTTTTACTCGACATCTGTCAAATTGAAGCCAAAATGTTTCCAGATGACTGAAGTTGTCCTTCCTTTCTTCTCAACCAAATGCCGCCTTGCTGCCATGTTTTTAATCGCTCGCTCATTATATTATTGATCCACAAACGTCACATGTTTGCCGCAGCTACACGTAACAGGGGTGCATTAAAAGTGTTTTTCCAGCACAGGAACTTATAGACACACACCGTGCGCTGCATTAATATATATTTTTTTTATTATAATGTCTTGATGATCGTAAGAAGCCAAAATCTAAATCATATTTAAAATTTGATCACTTATTTTCAGGCGCCTGCTCCTCATGTTGATAATTAGTGTTTTAACCATTTGTGCACTTCAGGACATCCACTAGCGTTGCCATAGTGACGGGAATAAACATGACTCAGTTAAAAAAAACTGTTTGTTGTCGTTATGTCATGAGAAAAATCTTGGTCAGGACCGATCATGAAATCTACATCTTTAGTACATGCTGTTTATAAATGAGACCCCTGCTGTGTGTGTGTGTGTGTGTGTGTGTGTGTGTGTGTGTGTGTGTGTGTGTGTGTGTGTGTGTGTGTGTGCGCCATCCTCACGGTAACCTGTTATCAAAACAGCGAGGCTGCGTCTGTCCTGCTCTGTTCTGACTACCAATCAGCTGGTTTTATCCCGAGCTTGTCCGCTCTCTCTGCGTTTCCTGTTTGTATTTTGATTCTCACTCCCCTGCCTGCAGCATGCCCGGCTCTGCCCGGTCCTTCTCCATCCATCAGGAAAGAGTGTTTCTTTTGACTTTCACCTCATGAGCCGATGAACCGCACCGAGCGTCGCGTTCACTTACTCTGAGAAAACATAATCTTCTCTGGGTGAGAGACTCTTTAATCCGCGCAGACGTGTTCTCGGGGTCCCTTTTTCAATAAATCACTGATGCTTCACACACATGTACCCTTGATTGAAAAAATTAAATAGAATAGGATGTGCATTCAAACTGCAGTGAGATAAAAGAAAATTGATTAAAAAGGGATGGCTGAAATTAAACAGAAAAGGGAGGGACCCTCTGGGACACGGTTAGCATATAAATCGTAAAGGAAGAGAGAGAGAGAGAGGCAAACTTCAGCGAAAGTTATTGGTGCAATTATTTAACTCCAATCCTCGGGGTTTAGCGCGCTCTTTCTTTATTGAAGCAATCACACCTTTTATCACTGACACCAACAAGTCTGTCACGACTTAAACAAGACTTTTCCAGTCATTAAAAGCAGGGTAACATACTGCTTTTACGAAATAATGATCTTCTGGAGCTACAGAGCGGAGGGAAAACACTGCTGGGATACAAAGAACTGGATCAGACCCCATAGCATGCCTAGCTTGAATCCCAGAAGCTAAAACAGGACGTCATGACACTCTTAAAGGTCCACTTGCCAACTAACGTTAACCGTGATTTAGCCTCCAGTGAACAACGCTCTACAGAATTTATGCTGCTTTGTGGGTTTCATCTGGTCCTCAAATAAACAGGATGAAACCCCAGAACCACCTGCAGTTCTTATTGTAAATTTAAAACTCTGTGTCACCGTGTGTTTTATTCAGAACTTTTATTTCAATACAGTGAAACACTTTCATCTGAACTGTCATCTTTCTCATCTCAGGGCTCAAAGCAGCCCTCGGAGCTCTCTCTTCTTGATATAGTACATCATAGCACTTCCCAGTTTTTCTCACCTTACCCAGAGCACGCTGTGAAAGCCTGCACATCACACCCGAGCGTGATGATGGCCCACTCAGACGCGCAAGGGCATCTCAGACACCAGAGGTTTAGCATGCATAAAGCAGACTCCACAGACACTCGACATCGCCGCACAAAAAGAACATACTGAAAGTATGGCTCTTCAAATACATTGGCATACCCTCAAAGACACCGTCGACTGTTGTTCATTTCTGTGCAACGCGTAAGGAAAAAACAAGATCACCAACGTAATCTTCCTGCTGCTGTTGGCCTCAAGTTTGAAAGCAGAAAACCTCCAAAGTGTGTCTCAGGTCAAGGATGAATATAACCGCCTACTCTTGCTGTAAAATCTTACAAATCATCGTTCATTTGGACACTATAAGCTTGTTGAAGCTTCAGTTTGTTGATTCAGGATGACTGGTAAACAAGATGTGAGGGGTGGGAGAACATAACTGATACAGCAGAGTATCGCGATATTTTGTCTGGTGATATATCGTATCGTCTCATTGACCAAGTATCGATTTTTTCAAATCAATTGTTAATATGAAGTCAAATCTATGATAATGGAAAAATAAAATCAACATCGTAGAGCAGGAGAAAGTTAGTACGACAAAGATAGATAAGGTTTGTAAGATGTGCTACATGAAAATAAAATACATAAAGAAAAGACAAATGCTAAAATTGGCTAAACAGTTCAAAATATTGTATAAATCACAATATATTGTATCGCAATACTTACTGGATTACAAAATGTTAAAAATCGCACTTATATTGTATCGTGGGGCCTAAGTATCATGATAATATCGTTTCATAGCCCAAGTATCGTGATAATATCGTAACGTGGGCCCAAGTATCGTGATAATATCGTATCCTGGCCCAAGTATCGTGATAATATCGTCTCTAGGGCTGCAAAGTCCTAGTCCACAGGTCAACTTATTGGTTGATATGTGCTGAGTCGTCTAAAATTCTGATTGGTCAACTCGATTTTTTTCCTCGTCAATTTACAGTCAATGGTTAATTTCATCAGGAGGAATGTACCAAGTGCCAATGGGGTTGTTTTCAGAGCACCCCCTTTTCACAGTTAACAGCCTGTCTCAGAACCTCCCCCCCTTGTTTTCACCATTTTGGATTTGCCCAACCCACGTCCACATCAATCAACGTCTGGTGGTTTGACCAAAGATTTCTTTGGTTGATTACAGGACTAACCATATTGTGTGGCCACTAGTGATTCCCACCCCTACAGGATGTGAAACTGGAAAATAAACATATTACAGACTTTATCAATTCAGATAAGACTCTTTATTCTGTACTAGAAGTAGTAAGGGTACAGTACACATGTCGGAGGGCAGCCATCTTTATCACACAGGTGAATTTGTGATCAACATTTTCTCTTTGGTCTGACTCCACCATAAACCTGTGTACCTTCAATATTTGATCTCACTATTGACTCTGGAGGATCACATCTATATTATTATCTTTCAGGTCGGACCAGAAAATCAACATCTTCCATGTCTAACTATAGTTGAGGAAACTGCGAGGTCTCTCAGTTAAAAGTGGAAATACTGTCTTGCCGTTGGGGCTAACTTATAAATCAGCCTTTAAATTGGTGTATAACTAATTTCTGAGTAGAAAACATTGGATCACAGGGTTCTCCAAACATCAAAGACAGTACACTGATGTTTTTACAGTACGAAAAAAACTCAGAGGACAAACAAATACTTAACCATGCCATGAACCCTCGAAATTTAAATATTTATACAGCTTTTATGTGTTATAGTAATATTTCAAAGGACTCTGCTGATCAGAAGAAGCCAGTTCTTTCCCTCTCTCCCTCTCTGCATCTCTGGCTGTACCCAAAGAAATGGACTGAAGGAAGGTTTATAAAGCGTTTTGCACAAATATTACAAATTAGGGCTGGGCGATAAACCTTAAACTTACAGATACCAAAATTTACGACAATAACCGACGTCATTTTGCCCATATTGGTATATTTGGTGTCAAGTTGGTTTTGGATGTGTGTAGATAGGCTATGGTCTCCTGTCCCTTTAAGACGATGTCCTTAGAGACGTGACTCCACCCTATCCAGTCCGTTACAAAGAGGTAACCCGCATCACGTTGAAGATCCTCCTTCTCACCCACAAAGCCCTTCATCATCAAGCCCCCCTTATCTCACCGACCTGCTCCAGCCTCACGCACCCCCCCGTAACCTAGGGGGAGTGGGCATTCTCCACAGCTGCCCCTACCCTCAGACACTGCCCTGACCCCACTACTTTCAAATCCCTTTTAAAAACTCACTTATTTAAAATTGCTTTTAACATTTAACTGTTTTATTTCTACAGTTTTTATGTCTTTGTTTTATTACCTTGGGTTTTATGTACTATGTAAAGCGTTTTTGAGTGTTTTTAAAAGCGCTGTACAAATAAAATTATTATTATTATTATTATTATTAAAGACAGGTGAGGAGATGGAGGACAGTTCAAAAGTTGGAGCGGCGGCTGATGTAGCCAAAGATAATCTGGGAGGGAGTGAGCAGCTTGTGGAGTAGTTATCGTCCATTTATCGTTATCGAGGTGAACTGATCAATATATCGGGATATTGATTTGAGGCCATATCGCCCAGCCCTAACACAAATTATCAAATTCAACCTGAGAAAAGTTTGGAAAGATGGCTGCTGGTTCTTAATTGGATTGACTCTTGTGTTGATTTTACGAGTATTAAACGATGGCAGCTTTAAATTAACTCCAACATTTAAAATCTCTCCTATAACAGCAACATGTTGGGTTTTCTAGACCTGATACTCATCGAGGACTCTTGGCTAGCCTTTCTCTGAGCAGTCCTGTCCCCCTTCTGATGGTTTCATCATGCCAGAGAATAAAGGCCACTCTGATGCCTTTCATTAATTCCTCTCTAAAGTTAAGTAGGCCTCACTTGTATCGTGAAGGTTTTTTTTGTGAATTTTGAATGCTCCCTTTCATCCCACCAACAAAGGCTCCTATCTCGAGTTCACAGCCTCTTTAGTCACCCTGGATTGTGTGTGGCACAGCCTCGGCTGCAGCTGTTTCTTCTCGCTTTTTTGAAGACGTGCAGCAGGAGGAGGACTGATGCTTTTGTGAAACCGAGCAGCCCTTGAGATCTGTAAGATGTGGTCGACCCTTTGTGCTCCACTGTGCACAGCAACAAGCAGGAGAATGATCTCCCTAAAGGTTACCGCACCAGTCTTTTAATCAAATCTGAACTTTTCTGGATTATTTTTGCGTGCCCGCTGCCTCATACATTTGATGAATATCTATACTACCCAGTGTCTTTGAAGGATCCTCTGTTTCTACTTGCAGTGGGGTTAATTGAGGCTCCTGTCAATACTGAGTGTAGCACCTGCGGGGGATCCCAGTCAGCTCAGTGAGACACCGTTTAGAGAACTGTCACCAAAGATAGGCCATCAATCACCGCAGACGAGGTCACCTTTATCACACAATTTAGTTCATTTTAAGAAAACTACGATGCAAACGTCTACATGAGTGTCAGTCTTAATCAAAATTCACCCTGCATCTTCAAATTAAATCCAAATCTTTAAATTTAAACTTCATAGTGAATGTTTAATGTATCAATGCAGTTTCTATTTTTTACATCTAGGGCTGCTCAATTTTGACCAAAGATAATTTCTCTTTTTTTTCTGAAAACTCTATTTTAGATTTTAATATTTTTTTTCAGTGACAACTTCACCAAACTTCACTTTAATCAAATTTTTTTCTATCATCTCTCAAAACAAAACCACTGAAAATGATGTAGTACATATGCCAAGCTGTTAAGTGGCGCTGTAACGCTGCACAGGAAATGCAACAAAGACAGAAGAAGAGTACAAAGCATGTGTATAAAGGTTTTTTTGGCGCCATAAAAGAGTTACGATGTGTGTCACATGATCGTTTCCACAGATGCAGATAGACATCCACACGGAGATGAAATGGTCGTTGTTTACAGATTTATTCACTCTCTGACCCGTTTTCAAAAAGTATCGTTTACAGTCACCTGAAACGCCGTTTCCATGTGGATGAAATGCGGATACGACGGAAAACTTTAGCGTTTCCTCCTGAATTAGTTTCCGTGGTGACGGGCCGATACCGCCTTCAGACAGACTTTGCAGCTGGGAGTGGTTTGCTCTTCATCTGAAACTGTGAAGTCGTACCAATTCAACACGACTGACTCGCTCTTGTCCTATTTAGCCACGCCATGTTTGTTTACACTGGTGTATGTAGCCTACGGTGGCCTGGAGGTGCGAGACATGATAGAGAGGAAAATCGATTTGAGGATTTTAATTATTTTAACATCGTCATAATGAAATAATAAAATTACAATTTAAAATTGATTTATCGTGCAGCCCTATTTGCATCCTTCTCCATTACCGTAACTCAGAGTTTCAAAGCGAAGACAACATTTTGTTTCTACATGCTGGTACAATCGAAGCGAAAGATTCAAATTAAGTTGAGCTAAAAGAAGAGCTCTACAGTAAGATTACAGTCAGCATTTACTTGATGGAAATAATGTCAAAGTGAAAAGAAATATAAAATTCATGAAACGTCTGTGACTTCTGTATAATAGACCTGAACAGCTGATCACTGCAAGAAGAGGAACTCAAGTGTTTTGCACAAGAATATTACAAAAACAAAAACAAACGGGTTTTCTGAGGGCGAGGTAAAGCACCAACACATTTCTAAGTAGAGCGTACAAACACTGACATTAGGACTGGAGTTTCTTAAAGCAAGTCAGTTTACATGAAAACAAATAACTGTCTGCAGTGGTCTGGTTTCTCTGCCGTCTAGCTGCATGCCAAAAAGTGAAATCTGTTCAAAGTTGTCCTTTAATTTACCAAACAAGGAAGTCCTTGAAGTTGTTTGTTCAGGGTTTCGTTTTTGACGAGTCTTTACATTTGAATCGATTGTTTTTTGACTCAAACTATCTATCATTTCTTCTGACTCCCACCTTGAAGAAAGGTTGGAGGTGAGCCGCTGCCCCGCCCCTTACCAATCACTCTGAAGCTGCAGTCAGTGTTATTGGGGACACACAAAGGACAAACCTCAAAGCTGCCTTCCCAACTTGTCAGCAGGAGCCGCACAACACAGAGTTGTGTATCATTAAAGGAAAGGGGCAAAGTGGCAGGGACAGGAACATTAGGGCGTACGGGTTACTGCAAACACAAACATAATACAAGTCAGAGCACCTCCTCTCTTAAAGGGAGAGTTTCTCCTTCAGTCTGCCTGTGAAGAAAATCATCGGGAGTTTCAACTCTGAGGGTTTGATGCTGTTGGGCTTTTGAGCAGGATGATTTCGAGCAAAGATTAGCCTCTAAATGAACAAAGAGTCAACAGTCTGACTATTCTTTTCTCTAAAATACATTAAATTTGTGAGCATTAGTGTTTATGTTCCGGTTACAACCACTGATCATTTTCATTTTTGATTGATCTACCTGAATCACATGATGTACCCTTCATTATTTCATAAACAGCATTCAAACTGAAGTATGCTCCAAAGAAATGTCAGCACATAAAATACCAAAAATCTTAAGTTACAGAGAACTCCACACTCTAAGACTCTTCATTTTTTTTAAAAGGGGACAAAAAATAACTTTTTATAATTGAGAACCTGGACCTGGAAATGTTTGACATATTTGGGGAAGAAAAGTTGGCAAGTTATTTATTCGCAGCCGATTCATCTTGGTGCAGTTCTGGTTTGAAAGGATCATCATCTAGACTTGTCATTTTTATAAAGCCTGTCAAAGGATGTACAAAAAACTAGTTTTTCTTTTAAAATGTCAAAAAATGATGCTCTCCATAATTTCTCAGGGCTCAAAGAGAGTCCTTTAATTTGCTTGTTTTTCACTGATAAGCTGATCATAAACTGTGGCGACGAAGGCGGTGCTAATCCTGCCAACAAAAGGCAAATACGTTTTCACCAACTTTTATTAATGACTGAACTGAGACGACGACTTGAACGGTGAACGAGTTAAAAACAAAAATCTTCATTTGTAATAACATGACAGAGGAAGATATGATGCAACAGTTACCTCTGTTGGGTAGGGGTGGGCGATATATCATTGTTCACGATAAATATTTGCCATCTCATGATGAAGGGTAGGGCTGGGTGATATGGCCTCAAATCAATATCACGATATGTTGATCAGTTCACCTCAATAACGATAAATGGACGATAACTACTCCACAAGCTGCTCACCCCCTCCCACATTATATTCGTCTACTTCAGCCGCTCCAACTTTCTCTCCGTCCTCCATCTCCTCACCTGTCTTTCCCTCTTTGTTACAGACTGGATGGGGAGGAGTCACGTCTCTGACGTAGGACAGCGTCTTAAAGGGACATGAGACCATAGCCTACCTACACAAACCAATTATACCGCTATGGGCAAAATGACATTGGTTATTGTTGTAAATTTCGGTATCTGTAAATTTTTGGTTTATCTCCCAGCCCTACCAAAGGTAATGAGGAAGACGTTTCTGAGCAGCTCGTTGGTTAACGAGGCTCCACATGAGGGATTTCCTTCAAGACTGTGCAATAAGAGTTTTCAACAAATGTACAAAATGTTTTCACTTTTGAGACTTCACTGAAATCACTAGTTTTCTCTATAACCTACCATGTAAACTTGTGGTTAAGTATCTTATTTGACGACTCCAACTGGTGTTCTCAAGACTAAATGAATCAAAAGTATAGACTGGAGTTATAATAGTCGGACTTTTATCGTTATCGCCAGAATGGCAAATCTTATCATGATAAATTATTTTAGGCCATATCGCCCGTCCCTACTGTTGGGTAAAAAGTACAAAAAGAAACGACTGCAACAAGTGTGCACTGTCTCCTCTCCACTGCATCCTTCTTGTTGTCTTGATGATTTTATTCCAGACACACATCAGGGACAAAGCCGCTACCAACTCCCAGGAAGATGACAGTTTAATCTACGCTGTTTTTGCTGTTGTTAACTTTAACAGCCCCCTGCCAAAGCCTTACTCTGCCTGTGTGAGGAGGATGTAGTGGAGAGCATATTTAGTAAGACATTTTACAGTTTTGATCAACTCTGAATCATCAAAGCTGACAATGCAGTTAAGAGCGTAATAAACCGCACATCTTTCCGGCAGGCCTGTCACCGGTAACAGTAAGGGACTGTCGTAAAAGTGTCAAACAGCTCTTTTCATGCTTGCACTGGCGGACAAGGTCAAGTCAAAGCATTTGTTTATCATCCATGGCTCTTTTTTTTAGCATGCACTTTGTATTTCCTTTTGAGCATTTTACTTGAAAAGCACTTTTCTCTGTGTGCCGTGCACTTTCCTTCGCTTATTAGATCAGCGGGGGCGGCGCAGCAGCACCGCACTGGTTGGAATGTCGAGGTTAGTTTACCCGGCGAAAAAAAAAGCTTCAAAGGCTCAAGTTGAAAATGTGAGACCCCGTGCTTGACAACAAATAATGACTGATATCACATTTTTGTGATATCACATTGTGTGCAGAGCAACACCACAACCAACACCACTTACTGACAGATTCCATTCACCACAACCAGACGGCGCTCACAACTGTACACCTCGCAAGATCAAACTCGACCTGAGAGCAAAATAAGGTGGACAATGGGATGGTGTTAAGATGAGAATAGCAAGCTGTGGTCGTAGTTTGTTTATAGGACATGTGTTGATCTATATGTTGGTTTTCTATTTCTGATGACCGTCTAAGTCCACTCGACATTCACTGACGTTTCCAGGGCTGTTTTTGTTTTAATTCCTTCTTCAATCAGCTGATTTCCTGACTATCATTATCACGTGACAATCTGTGAGGCTCCACCCACACATCAGGATATCTGATCATATGTTATGAGTATGACTTCAAATTGGTGGGTACCTGATCTTCTTCCTTCTTTACACATCTCTCACATTTCAGTTACAGATACTCTTCAACTCTGAGGAAGGTCGAGGGCTGAAATGTGTCTATTGTGAGGCTTTACGTCTCTATACTGTTATTTAAACTTTCTGTGAGGAACTTTTAACTAGATTTGACTTTTTTTTTTTTCATTTTTGGTAAGAATACCTAATCTATCTATCTATCTATCTATCTATCTATCTATCTATCTATCATGAACTGGTAATCTACTGAAAGAGTTGTCACAAGAGGGGAGTAAGACCTAAAGCCAACCCATTACCCGTTAGTCTGTGGTCCACTTGAAGTAAGGACAACGAGTTTAACACAAGTGAGAGTAGGGAAGTGTGATTGGACAATATAAGGAAGAAAGGAAGGAAGGAAGGAAGGAAGGAAGGAAGGAAGCGGCAAAAGAAAGGAAGGAACAAAGGGAGGAAGGAAGAAAGAAACAAACAAACAAACAAGAAAGAAAGATAGAAAAAGAGAAAGGAAGGAAAGAAGGAAGAAAGGAAAGAAAGAAGGAAGGAAAGAAAGAAAGGAAGGAAAAAGGAAAGAAAGAAAAAAGGAAGGAAAGAAACAGACAAACAAACAAACAAAAAAGAAACAAAAGAAGTGAAAATAAAAAGGAAGGAAGAAAGGAAGGAAAGAACGAAAAAGATAGATAGAAAGATAGATAGATAGATAGATAGATAGATAGATAGATAGATAGATAGATAGATAGATAGATCTTATTAATCTCTGAATGGCTCCTAAGAGGTAAAGGTTTACAGTTTATTAACTATCTGCAAATGAAGTGAGATCCTAGTATGAGCAGATTCTATGTTCTGCAGTTCTATGCTCATAAACAGACACATGTTGATGTACAGATCTAGTTTTTCTGATGCAAACCAAGGTTAAAAAATAAACATAAAAGTGCACACAACACTATTTCTTAGGTTGTCCTGTGAGTTCTTAGTGTTTTATTTGAAGTGATAAATAAATATACAAATGATAGCCGAGCAGCAGAGTCTGTGTTCCTCAGCAGATCACAGACATGCAGGCTAACGCAGGCTACAAATACAGAGGGTAAACAAGGGTCTGAAACTAACAAGCGTTTAAGTCAAAGGACTTTCACACGACTTCCATAAAGGGCGGGTTCGACGATCCGTACAGCTGACAGTTAAAGGGAGCTCCTAAAAGTGTGTCCGAAATAACAATACGTCTCTGTGCAAAGCTATAATTCAGCCGCCCTATTTTCAGCGAGTGGGCACGAGGGCAGTGTCAGGCCAAACAACAACACCAACATCAACAACAACAACAACCACCGGCTGATGAATGACCGCTGTGATGGAGAAGGGGATCGAAGGGATTGATCCGCGGCCCGCTATCTCATCCCTGTTTTTACCCTCTGTCAAACAGGTGCCGAGGGGAGATGGATTCTGCCTGCCGAAGGAGTGGATTAATGGCAGTGGGAGAGGGGGGGGGGCCCCGGCTGCGCCCTGGACCCGGCCGAGTGGTGCTCTCCTCTGGGCAGAAGGGAGGTGGCGGGCTATTATTGACAAGGCTCCAAGAGGAGAGGAGTTGCCAAAGCCTCAGGTGGAGAGCAGAGAGGATTGAGAGAGGAGAAACTCTGTGTGCGCGCCGACCAAAAGCACACGCACACACTTAAAAACACTCCACTGCAACCACCCTTGGCTCCCAGAGTACTTCTAGGCGGCATAATGATGGATGGTTAGAGGGTTCAGCCTCCCATTCACCTTTGTTCAGACTCCTTGCTCTGTGAATTGAGCGGCCATGGTAATGAATATGCATGCATGTGTAGATGATGTTCGCAGCTCGACACAGAGCATATAAATTGCCAATTGCGCTGAGTTAATGACACAAACATAACCCTTTGTTCAATTTCCATTGACTTATTGTGTGCTAAATTAATTGTCTGCCTCCCAATTACAATGGATATTTTTAGTGTGCGGTGCTGATGTATTCTGTAAACATAGATTACATTACTCTAATTGAGGGGAAAAAGAAAATACGTCCAAATTGCTCCTGATATCACATCAGCGCTATTGGCGAAACAAATGGAACAAGCTCGTTTGTCTTTGCCAACAATAACTCAATTAGCCGAAAACGATGCATTCGATGCTGGAGTGGTCACACTCGATCGGGCGTTCGTGGCAAACTCTGAAGGTCACCGTCCAGGAGATCCGCTCTTACGGATTCACTCAGCGGCGAGGAAGGAGGCCTGGAGTGTTGTGAGAGAGCAGAGGTATGCTCAGTATGCTACAGGCGTCCATCTCTGCCTCTCTCTCTCTCTCTCTCTCTCTAAAACATCACTGACAATTTCTCAATGCAGCACAAGCGCTAATGCTGTTTTTTATAAAAAGATGCTGGGCAAGACAACAGGGTGTGCCCCGTCTCAGATTAATGAGTGCTCAAATGCAAGCAGACAGCTTTGGAATTAACAACCTCATCTCCCTCCGTCTTCTTCCTCCTTTTCCTCTTCCCCGCTTTGTTTTCTCAACACTCAGGGCGACTAATTAAAGAAACCGCATCATGAAATGTGTGCTTCTTTCTTATCACTCCTTAGCCCTTCATCGCTGAGAGAACAAGAGTGGGGTTTTTTCCCTTGTCTTCTTCTCACTACTCCACTTATGATGAGATACACTTGTGCTCACAATGTTAAGGTTTTTTTTTTCCCCACACAGATGTCCATTAAAAAAGGTGAAAACACACAAGCGCGGGCTGTGATTCAGAGGTGAAAATGACGTAAAGGAGCTGCAGACGTGCATGAAATGAAGATCTTCTCTTGTTTAATGTCAAGGGCGAAGTATCGGCTGAGCTTTAGTCCGGAAAACCTAATGAAGTCATGTTTGTGTGCTTTATTAAAACGGGTCTGTAGGAGGAGCAGGTCTGTGTTGAGAGGTCTGCTGCTGAAGTGAGACATGCTCAACAGACACAGATACACTGACGCAGAAATAGATTTAAAGCAGATATTTCACAATCACAAGAAAAGCAAAGAGGGCAGGGTCTGAGACTTATACCATGAGGAAATATAAAAATACACCGACAGCACTTAGCAGCATTTCTCTCTGTTATTCTTAATATTGGAGAAGTAATTCCAGTTGTACTCAGAAGTTGGGATTTCCGAGCTCAGAGTCGGAAATTCATCTGGTGCTATGGTGTTTGTAAGATCAAAATACTGTGTTACACTTCGTTTACAACTGGTATAGCTAACAACAACTAACAACCGCTAACAACGGCTAACAGTAGTCGTCCATCTTGGTTTTCCGACCTGTTTACTGGAACACCGTCAACTTGGGTGTAACGTCATTCCCATCTCTGACATCCGACTTTCGAGGTAACTGGAGCACAGCAGAAGTTTTTTTTTAATGGTCCAACAAGAGAGCTTTTTCTAACATCACTCATACAGATGAATCGTTTCTTTGAGGATAAATGTCTGCTGGAGATTCATTCAGGTTACATCTGCACGTTACGTGTTGGTATGCTAATTCAATCATACGCACTTAAAACATCTGCTGTTGGATGTTTAAAGAAACGAAGTTCAGCCTGCAGACGAGACAAATGCCTCATCTCAATGTCCACCATGCATGCAGTCCACCGCAAAGATGGTAAACACAAAGACAGTTTTACTTTAAACTTCTTTACTTTTGTCAGATATGAAACATGCAGAATAAAACTGTGATTTGGGGGATTGAGATTAAACTATTACAGGAGATTAGTCTATGTGCTTTACTGTATATTTATGCAAAAGTTTGACTTCAGGAGATGATTTTCCTTTTTTTTTTTCAGTCAGTTACTCTTCCCACTCTTTTTTTTAATAATATGTCTCACTAAAAGCGAATATTCTTACCTGTATGTATTATTAAAATGAGTCGTTACATACTGAGTGACCATCTAAAGAGGTCAAACAAAAACAGTCTCAGCCTTAGTGTAGCTGAAGTCATATTCATGTCAACAATAAAATCAAAAATATATTTTTCTGTATCACCCACCCTACTATCATCTCTGCCCTTATCGTCGTAGTTGATGAAAATTAAGTTAACATGCACTACCCTTTCATTGATTAATACGCTCCGTTTTATCTTCCATTAAAACATTTTATTTAAACTTTATGGAATGAATCGAACAGCTGATAAAAATCCGTGTTAGGTTAGGCTGAGAACTCAGACCATCTGTTTGAAGCCTTTAGGTGCCGCAACCCTTCGTACTGCGAATGTGTTTGACTTTTCAGTCTAGCAGTTTAGCTGTGTTGAAAGTCATGACCACATATGTCAGAAACATCTGTGTCATCTGTTAGACTGTGGTGAACAGCAGGGAAATGACATCTTAGAGGAGGTAAAGTTAAAAGGTGAACACATGAACTGATTTAATTCACTTTTTAAGTCAAGTTTGGAAAAGAAAGTGAGTTAGATTAATGTTCTGATTTTACAATACACCCCACATTCCACATGGACAGAGAGAGAACTGCAGGATCACTATTTATCTCAAGAGTCGAGTCATCTAGCTGGTTGCAGATGATGGGTGGAGCTGCCAAACTAGCAGTCACTAGTTAGTCTTAGTTTATCTCCAAGCTCCTCCAGTAGACAGATTACAGATTAGTGGACCTAAGAAGTGTCCTCCCAGTCATGGGAGCGAGCAGCAATAAAGTCAGGATGGATGTGTGAGTGGATTTGGGATTGGGATTTCAGCGATTTGCAGACAAAGCAGACGCTGAGTCTGAGGGGTCGCTGGGAGCCTGATGGATCGTTTTCTGTGAGGAGGCGAGAGGAATTGGAGTACTTTTCCTACTGTCCTCGCCGTCCCATTTGTCTGTGTCACAGCGAAATACAGATGTGTGAGTGCAAAGAGGAGTTCATTTTCAAAGAGCGTTTTTGGTGGAAAGCACCAAAGTATGCAATGATCGCTTCGATCTGCCGCGCTCAACCAGACATTCACTTCTAAATCCATGAAGAAAGCCCCATTTATATGCTAAACATTTGAGCTTTGATTAAAAGACTTATATGGCATTTGACCATCAATAAATCATTACTACATTAATTTTGACACTGTAGTTTAATGACTAGTGAGAGCCCCATGGAAAGAGAATTTCCTGACATGAAAGACACACTTTAGAGCGAGTCCATGAAGAGCAGGGACTCAATCAAACTTTCTCTACGTGACACTCGTCTCAAATATTGATGCGCACCATCAACTGTGTGAGACAGAGGCCTGCAGATGTCTTCACATCTCAACAGGCTGCTTATAAAACCGATGCCTTATGTATCCATCCAACCCGAGGCCAAGTGATGGAGTGCTCACTGGTTACAAACCCACCTACGTAATGTAAATATGACATTTCAGCAGGGTTTGACAGTGCGACCGTTTCTCTCTGCGACTAAAAATAGATGCGTGCGAATTGTAAAATATACATAAAAAATCAGCCGAGGCAGTAAATGTTTTTTCCTGTAAATACGGCGGTGAAGTTAGTTTTAGGTTGGATATCCGACGGACATTCACTGAGGATCTACCGGCGTCTTCTCACTCTCCACGACCGGGAATAACAACAGCAGCGCGGTTAAATCTACTCGGCGCCCTCGCTGTCAACGTCAGGTGTTGAATAAGGGACCGTCAATAAATTACCGGTTGATGTTCTCAAACAGGCTGTTTTCCTTCAATAGCTTTAATGTCATGTGACCTAAAGACCTAAAATTAATTTTAAATAACAGTACTCATGTCGACCAATAAGACACACATTGTTTGATCAATTTTGCCCCTAAAGTTCTGTGTGTGCTTCTTACTTTTTCAACTTAGGCGTAGGACTGAGCGATTATATGATCGGGATTAATTATCATGATAAATTTCAGTTCGATCACAGTGATCAGCAGTGAGTATATTTACTCAATCAAACTTGACGAAACTGTGCATCACAACAGCCAATCAGAGTCGAGCTTTTCCTGCTCACTTCTGTAAGTGGCTGGACAATTAAACAGAGTAACCGAAGGCGGAGCTGAGGGCAGTAAAATAGATGTCAGCCATGACTTTGAGTCATCCTCCAAAGATGTTATTGTTGGGAAGAAAAGCTATTTAACGTCTTATTTAGTATTTATCTATTTATTTTTTAGTTTTTAGTACAGATTCTTTAAAACTGGCAGTTGAAAAATAATCAGTTTAAAGTGACTCAAATACCATGAATAAACGTATTATGTCCTCTGCAACAATAATCACTCTAGTATGTGTACACTTGAAGCAAAAAAAGGCAAAATGCTGCACAGATTTGACAGCAGCATGTCCATGAGTGTACATGTAGAAGCCAAAGAGTTGCAGTGCAAATGTGTGGATGTACTTCAAAAACTACTTGATAAAAATTCATAGCATGCTGTGAAATTACATTTTTAAAATCAAGCTCTATTGTTGTGCAAAGGTATAAGTGATATATTAATGTTCTTTTCCTTTCTTAGCCTGTAAAACTCTGACAATACAATATAAATTGGCAGCGAGCAGCACAGGTCACTTCTGTTTACAACCCAAATGTACACAACACTACCCTTTACTAAAAGGCCCAGTTCTCTCCACACCAGAGGTAAATACCAGAGTCAAAGTCAATAAGAAGAGGGCCAAAGACAGCAAAAAATAAATAAATACAAACAATTCGAGCCTTCTCATGCCATCAAAAGCCGAACTTTTTCATTTTTTCAGTATAATAGATATATTTCTAAGCACCAAATCAGCTCCTATTATCACTTCACACGCAGAATAAAAGAGCAGATGATGAACAGGCAAAGACAGAGCTCTTAATTTACATAAATATGGAAGAAAATATGAAGCTCACAGATGTTTGAACCGCAGCAAAACATCATAAAATCACAGCCGTGCAGCAGACATCCCGACATAAACCACAGAAACATCAGCAAAGCAGTAAAACAACATTAATCTGCAACACAAGCAGCCAGAATAAAGTCAAAACGAGCATGAAAAGAAGCGAGCAGCAGGACTTAGCTTGATGTTGAGACGAGCTCCTCGGTGGAGTCTGGAAGGTTCTGCCAGGTACCGGGTCCGGATGGTCGGAATGGAGTCGAAGTTCGTTAATCCGAGAGCGGAGGAAAGGGAATATTCTTCCACATCTGATTCCAGACGAGACGAAAACTTACAAACCGAGTGACCAGAGTGATTTTTCAGAGTTCAGCAGCAGGTGACGAACATAGACTGTATAAACTCTGGACAACTTGGTTCCTCCTTCCGCCATTATACGGATTTGAAGCCGAAAAAAGCTCCCGGTAATTCCGCGTTTTTTCTCCACTTCCTGAAAGCAACATTGCGCAGTAGCGTTGTGCGCGTTCGGCGGGAGAGTCGCCGAGAGTCGCTGTGATGACCATACATATATAAACATTTGGCTTACGCACGCTGTTAGCTAATGGAGACCGACGTCCGCGCATGGCGGCCATTTTGCAAGATTACTTAAATGAATATACCGTGTTTTTATAAATAATTTTTAAGTATGATGATTTCTAAAAAGGGAAATTATAAGATACCCTTCACGTTCTTCACAGAAAAAAATCAAACTTTAAAAATTTTAATCTTTTTACTTTATTTTAAGAACAATACATAAAGATATTGGTTAGTTTGATTGCTTTAATAATTAAAAAAAAAATGTTTTTAGTATGCAAAACCATTTTAATCAAATATCCAAAACATTATTTCACCGTTAGAAAACAACAACAGCAGATACACACTGTAGAAAATGTTTTTCATGTCTTTATTTTTTTGGTTTATGAGGAAAGGAAGGAAAAATGTAGCAGGATACAAATAAAGATTTTACAAAGCTCTATGTTGGGGAAAAACCAACATGTACCACATGGTATCATATATAAAACATGCAATTTTACATTCAGTTATACATTTAATAGTAACATCATGACATAAAAGTTTAAATCCAAGTTATCATTTTAAATTTCTGTTAAGTGACTTTCTGTTAAGTCATGAAGTTTACTTCATGACTTCTGTCATGAAGTAAAAGGCAGAAAGGTTTGTTTTCAGTTTAAAATGCCATTAAACATCTAAGAGTTTAATGTTTGTTTTCTGGACTCAGTCTTTTCTTCTCACTCCAAAGGAAATGGGAAAATTCTAAGTAAAATAATCCTGTTTATTTCAGTAGAAATTTGCAGAGAAGTTATTTAAAAGCTATCCGTGGTTATATATTTATCTGCCTGAGCGAGGTCTGTTACACCCTTTTAATAATAGTGCTCAGTTAATAATAGACATTTATTCAGGGAAGGAATGCTGGAGTACATCTAGGTTATTTCCCGTTACCTTCGCAGAGGATCAACAGACACTTTCTCTCCTAAAGACAGAAAAACATTTGAAAGAAAAACATTGGAGGGCACATCCTAAAAGAGGTTGATGTACACAGAAATGACCTTCTTCTGCTGCTGCTGAAACCTCCCCTCTCCCTGATCTCTGGCACACATCAGCCAGTTTGTCCCCAGCAAGCCTCCTGTCACACAAAATAAATTGCCTTCACTGTGAATGGGTCAAAACAACACAGAGATGTCATTATTTCGCTGCAATTGATCATACCTTGGGAAACACAAGTCAATAGTTTCTATAATTGCAATGTCTCCAGCCCCTCCGAGGTTCTTGCACGAGGGCTCCTTTGCTTCTTTTCATCTTCCCTCTGATTACTATTTTCACATCTCTGATTTTTCATCAACCTTGAGAAGGCTGCGCATTGCAAAAATATGTATCTTACTTCCTTTCAGAAGGCGTTTGGATGGTACATTTAAACCTCCAAATTCACTTTAATTCAGCAATTTCATTTCGCAAGACAACTTTCCGAACAATGAACCCTTGACTTTTTGAATACTTTGACTGAAGACATTCAGGCTTTCACTCTTTTCACTGAAGCACTCAGTGAAGTTATTTAGCCTTGGGTACCCATTAACAGTTTTTTAGAGTGAGGCTGTAATTTTCAGACTTCCCAGCTGAAACGTTGGATATATAGCCCTTTAAGTAAGCGTATTTATCTCACAATTGATATGTGGGTTTCTTTAAAATTAGCTCTCTGTAGGAAAGCCTCGACCTGAGTTTATATGGCATTTTGTTTTTTTGATCACCACTGCTGCTTTTTTCAGCCTTGTCTGGATGGTTTAAAGACTTTTCCACTACGCCAAGGTTAAATTCTAAGCAATCAATGATGAATCTGTCTCTAGATCTGTCTTTCATCCCGTGATCTATACCGCTATGTGCTCATTCATTGCAAATAAACTGTTCGTCAAAGACTTCAGCTGTGTTATTGAAACAGTTATTTAAAACATTGATTTAACTGCCCTCACGGCTGCATGTCAATCAAAGCTGAGTCTTCGATCCAACCCCAAACCTTCATGAACCTTTATAAATCCACGTAAGAGTGAAATAATTCAGCAGTAAATATATTAAACAATACAAAATCAACCACTTTGCCCAAACTGTGATGGTTTAAGTTTATCTTTGAGTCAAATACACTAAAACCTTTGATGGTTCAAGCTAGAGACTTTATACTAAACAAAATGTAAAACCAAAATAATCAGAGCTCCCCCTACTGACCGGCTGCAGTACATAAACTTTAGTAAACGTTCCTCAAACATCTTTTCTGTCAATTATGTTAGTTATTGTGGACCATGTCACTGTTGTTTTTATTGGTAAAAAACACAAAATCGTGACATTTCCCAAATAAAATAACCTAGATTAAATATTTTTAAATACATAGTCAGTAATGAGTAGTGAAATCAATTTTGGTGCATTTAATTTTTTTTGTAGTGCCAATGTCTGTATATTAGCTCCATCCAGACTATTTTGTCCCCAAAAACAGACCTGCAGATTAGTGTTTGTAAAATTATAATTTTAAAACATTTTTTCTTACTTTTTTTCAATCAAATCTCTGAACTTCAGCCCCAACCATAAAAAATACTGTTTTTTAATATGAAGAAAAGTAAGAACTATCACCAAATTTGATGCGCCAGTCTTTAAAAATGCGACTGTCAGCTTAAAAATAAAAATGAAAGAAATGACAAATGTCCACAAAATGGACGTAGTAGGAACTGAGTGTTAAGGTTCATTTTCTTCAGTCTTTAGATTAGTAGTTACACATTCAGTTCTCAAGTCCTCAGCAGCAAACTTTGCTGGAAGTGTACTGGCACCTCTCCAGAAACATTTCCATGCTTGCAACATACCCAGACTTGATCCAGTCACCCTTAGGTTCCCATGCCAAGTCCTTATAGACTAAGATACTGCTGCCCCAGGGTGCCCTCGATTGATCCGGCAATACCTTAAAAGACTTCTGTCACAGCTCCAAATCCATAAGACCTGAGAGTTTCTGATCTATACCTGCACACATGGGCTAAGCCGATAAAGTTTGTTGCCCGCTGCTGTGATATCATATAATCAAATCCACCACAGAGTCAACTTAGCTTTCTGTCTGTTTACAACAATGGAGTCATGGGGTGATGGAGCCCAGAGAGAGATGCTAACACAGGCTACACAAAAACACACACAGACTCACACGGAGTGAAATGAAAGAGAAATCCTGCGATGTGGATCCAACCCAGACCTCTGTTTGTCCTCACATCCTCCGACACTATAGGCTAAAATGTGCCGTCTGTGAGCGAGCGGTCGCCTTTTTTTACGGTCCAAACGCAAATTGATGCATTGTGATGCATCCCTTAGTCTTTGATTTGTGCTTTCAGTCTCCACAGGTTTGCAAATTCATTACTTAGCGCTCGCGTTCACAAACATCCAGGCTGAATGTGCAGGTACAGCAAAAGCATGAAATATGGGATCCAGAAACCTAATGTCCTTACACAATACACACACACACACACACACACTGAGTGTATGTAATTTATTCACACCCACACAAAAACACAGACACATTCACACGCTACATTGTGTCAGTATCATCAGTCCCTAATGCAACCATCTGCTCCACTCTGTATTTCTTTTATGCATAAAAACGCTAACCAACTCTTGGCAAGAGGCCCTCACTCACCATCTCATATGCATCACAGCAAATTAATGAGTTACCTGAGAGGGAACATGAAGAGTTTTTGTGGGTCTAATGGGAAATTAAAAATGGCTAACAACCCTGAATCAGCCAAACTAATGGAGAGAGCTGCTGCAGCAGTTCTGGACCGAGCCAGATCTGCACCTAAACCGCCAACGAGAACATAAACAGAGGAGCTGCATGACGGTTCCATAACCGGCAAGTCTAATGAGCGATTGGGGGGTGGGGGGTGGGACATGGACTGGCAAGGATCATAAAACATTCCTCAATTAAAAAGCATTCCCACAAGTTTACCCTCCACCGAATGGTCTGTTATCGCACAACCTATAATGTATCTTGACGGTGTGAGTTTATAGTTTTCCTTGAGGAGATTTATGCCGAGCTGTAAAATCTGATAATAAGTCTGGTTGTTTGACTGAGAAATAAATTTGGACGCAGATACCCCTGCCACAGATGCTCCCATGACAACTTTCTGTTGTTGTTGTTGTTGCTATTTTTATCAAATGTCCTTTTGGATGACAGAAGAGAAGCATGCACCATGATGAAACAATGAATTTGGGTTCATTACGGGTAATCCCAGGAAACTCAAAAAAACACTGATATGTTGTTTTTTTAATAATTTGAATCAGTGTTGTTCTTTTCAAACCATTAAAAACTCAGAGGAGTTTTGTGTTGTTGTGATTGTGATGTGCCAAATGTGTAAAATGTGATTTTTTGAACAGTTTTTTACACAACACACCATCGGTTCTGGACCTGTTTGTACAAGCACCCCTGACAGTATTATTGAGGGCTTTTGCAGTCCTGCCCCCACAGTGAGCCTGAGTGGGAACACCATGAAGATGGAAGACAGAACCATCACCAGGAGGATGTTATCTGTTATTATTTCATCTTTTCCAATACCATCTGGTAATCCTTAGAAATATTTTGCAACCCCCAATGGAGTCAAGACTAGGGCTGGGCGATATGGCCTCAAATCAATATCACGATATTTTGATCAGTTCACCTTGATAACGATAAATGGATGATAACTTCTCCACAAGCTGCTCACCCCCTCCCACATTAACTTCTTCTACTTCAGCCGCTACAACTTTCTCTCCGTCCTCCATCTCCTCACCTGTCTTTCCCTCTTTGTTACAGACTGGATGGGGCGGAGTCACGTCTCTGACGTAGGACAGCGTCTTAAAGGGACATGAGACCATAGCCTACCTACACACATCCAAAACCAACTTTGTATTTATTTAGTTTTTTGACACAGAATATATTGACATGGGCAAAATGACGTCGGTTATTGTTGTAAATTTCGGTATCTGTGAATTTTTGGTTTATCGTCCAGCCCTAGTCAAGACCCTAAGGTCTTAGAGCTGTAGTGGAAACAAGGTTGCTGTTTGTCAGAAACTTTGTAAACTGTGTTTCTGTCTGTCTTGGCTGGGTCACTCTTGATGACCTGATCTCACATTAATCATGTGGTAAGTCCAAAATCTTGTCAAATTTGATTGTTTTTTTTTTTTTTTGTCGTCTCTGAAGATGATGCTTGGTCATTGTTGTAAACTTTTGTTGTCTTTACATGAAAAGTTTTACAGGATGCATATATTCACTTGAGCCATATTGATTGCAGAGTTCTAAACATGCCAAACCAAAGCTGAGGTGATATTTGAATCATCAAATTTTGACGCCTGGGCGCTCCTGCCAAGGGAGGTGATGCCACTATGAAAAATGGCAAACGAAGCGCTCTTTCCTCTCTGATAGCTGCCTGAAAACTAAGAACTACTTTCTAGTCCTTTTGGGAAATATCAACAAACAGATTTCACATTGTAGGATTCTCTCAGTTTGGGAGGATGTGCTAGGGCTGAATGATTAATCAATTTTATATCATTATCAGATTATTTCATTATGATGATGTTAAAAAATTAAAATCATCAATTTGATTTTCCTCTCTGTCATGTCTTACGCCTTCAGGCCACCGTAGGCTCCTCCCCCTTCCTGCGGGAGCGCTCCCCAGTTCCCACACACACCAGTGTAAATAAACATGGTGTTTGCTAAAGAAGGCGATAATTTCGTGGTTAAATAGGTCAAGAGCGAGTTTCAGATGAAGAGTAAACCACTCCCCGCTGCAAAGTCTGTCTGAAGGCGGTATCAACCCGTCACCACGGTAACAAATTAAGGAGGAAACGCAAAAGTTTTTTGTCGTATCGGCGTTTCATCCACACAGAAACAGCGTTTCGGGTGACTGTAAACGGTACTTTTTGAAAACGGGTCAGAGAGTGAATAAATCTGTAAACGACAACCATTTCATCTCCGTGTGGATGTCTATCTGCATCTCTGGAAACGATCATGTGACACACAGAGGAACTCTTTTATGGCGCCAAAACAACCTTTATACTCATGCTCTTTACTCTTCTTCTGTGTTTTGCACATTTCCTGTGCAGCGTTACAGCGCCACTTACTGGCTTGGCATATGCACTACAGTTTGGTGAAGTCGTCACTGAATAAATAATCGAAATCAAGTTTTCAGAGAAAAAGATGGGGATTATACTTTTGGCCAAAATCGCGCAGCCCTAACTGTCGCTTTAAGATGAGTCCCAAGTGCCAGGATCAGTTACAGGAAATGAGTTATGATTCAGGTGATGGGTCTTTAAACAGCGTATGGATGAACTATAAAGGACACTGTGGGGTTTTGTTGATGAAATGCTGTGACTCATTACTAAATAATGAAGAGAAGAACACGTCCCCTTTCATTTCACACCCAGGGGTGACACTCCAGTAAGACTGACAGGAAATTTAACCGTGTTTCATTATGCGTCCTCTACAACTCTTACATAAACTGATCTTGGGAATGACACTGCAATTTTCAAGGTGGCGGCATCAACACCTTTCAAACCTCCCCCCTTTTTACACCCCCTTTGACTTCACCTCCTCTATCAGCCAACTTGGTTTAATCTGCAACAAAAGCCTCGGGTTGCAAAAGTCACTCTACATCTTGTCAGGACAATATTTTCACTGCCTCCTTCTCCCAGCGGCGATGACCTTCCTGCGTCTCTCAGATCTGTGCCGGCCCACAGCCACAGCCCACATTGACAGGACTGCGAAAATGCAGCCAAGCGTCTCTTAATCCATTCTAGCTCTGCTTTGCTCCGGCTTGGGTTGTCCAAGGTACTGCTGCTGGAGTCCTGTCTGAGTGTACAATGAGGCTTTTCTCAACCTAGACCATCAGTTGGCTGTAAAGCTGCAGTTTTAGCCCACTCGTGGTTCCACGCTATGCGGCTGAACCTGCCGTTTTTCTTTGACCTCACCTTACTGCAAAATTCAGGCTGTGTTTGTGAGAGTCTGCACACTGTTGTTGAATTATTCATCGAGAATAAATGTGCCAATGTGCTCATCGGAGAGAATGGTCTTAAGAGCAGAAAACTCATTTTTTGTCTGGGATGCTAAACTCTCTTGAAAAGAGGAGTCACACGGCATTAACTCTGCAGCGAGACTACCTTTGAATCGAATCACATCTGCTGGCACGCCACACAAAAAGCAGAATTCTGTCTTTCGTTTGTACGCCTTTTCACCCTCATTGAATCCATTCCAATAGTTGAAATGCATAAATTGAATTTGAATGAGCAGCTTTTATGAATTTCCTCTAAAACGCCCTCTGAGCAAAGATGTTTAAAGGTCTCCTCCATAAATAACCACGTTTGCATCAAAGGCCCACGACAGCAAAACAGGCTTAAACATACCAGCTGTGAACTGCTGCACTTTTAATAACTCCTCCCTGATCTCACACATCAGGATGGAGGGATGTATGTACTTAAAAATGACAGCCAAAGTCAGTCAGTGTGTCTCTCCGGCTCCCTCCACAGATGGAGAGGAGTGCCCCAGGTATGTGAAGCCCAAGCCAAGGATATAAAGCGGGGATGTCCAGCCTCCCACCGGAAGACAGCGGAGGAACTGAGGGATTGTGGGATCTGTGCTACAATAGATAATTAGTGAAGAACATCTGCTGCAGGAAGTTCCTGGGAACCTCATGGGCTGGAGATCTTAAATCACTCTTGAGCTCCGAGTGGAGAGTGAGCAGCTCGAGCTATTTACTTTGATAAATCATTTGTATTAATCGCCAAGGTCCACCTGCTCGGCGCCATATGGCTGTTATGGGATGGTATGCGAAGTTCAGTTGGTCCCAATGTGGTGAAAAAAACAACCGAAACATCAAATAAGCCAGAACTGAATTAAACATTTTCAAACTCAGTCTGAACTTTCTTGGACCTCTTGGTTTTTAATTAGAAAATTCATCTCAGCCTTATTTAAAAAATACTCTGATATATTTGAGTAATGTTCAGAATATTTCAGGCATTTTATTTGACTTATAGAAATAAGCGACCTGCAGTCTTCCCTTGACACAGATTGTCCCACATTAAAGTAAAATATTTATGGTTTTTACTTCAGTTTGTAAACCAAATATAATCGTCAGCCTCTGAAACATGTTTCACCCATATGAATAAAAATTGGCAGCTTTATGTGTCGGGCCAAGACCTTGAAAAAGTCCCAAACCCAACAGGAGGTCGGCCATATTGATCCAGGTATCAGGTAACAAAGATATCTGAGGTTTGTAACAAACAAAAACGTTTGAAAACCGGTTTAAAATTAATCAGTCTATGGTTATTTAAAAGCTACATCCACCGTAGATGATAATGTTATGAGTGGGCAAGCTGCCCATAGCAAGATGGCCGACATGTGAGGACGTCACTCTCTATATGCTAACAGCGTGCGTAAGGCATCTAGCATTTATATTTATCTATGACAGGTAAAAGCAAAATGCTAATGTTTCAAAATGATGGTTCCGTCACTGCGTCCTTTACGTTGGCATGGATGTTAACCATTACATCCATCAGGGGGCAGGTCGGAGCACCGACATTGTTTACTTTGTTTCTCTCTAGAGATGCACATCTGGTAGTTACAGCAGCAACACTGCCCCCATGGTTTCCAGCGGTACTGCTCCGTCTGGCACGTACAGAAATATGGACAAAAAGAACACGAAGCATGGACGGAGAGCTGCCGTATCCTGATCCGCATGTAACGTTGAGCATAAATGAGCCTTTAGAGGTGAATAAAAACAGTGCCACCTGATGGAAAGAGGGAGTACTACATGAGGTTGTGCAATAAATTTACTGAATTGATTAGTCTTATTTCTGTTTTTTTCTCAACAGTGAAAATCAAGATTGTAGCTGGCTGTGAGTGTGACTAAAGAGTTTATTTCCAAATAAAATAAAGGTATCATCATTTATGATAATTTCTTCATGGAAATGTAATCGGACCGAGGTGTCTGCAGTGAAAATGATTAATATGGTGATTATTACTTCAAGGAAATGAAGGAAATGAAGACTTCCTTGAGCTGCGTCACCCCGCAGTAGTGCGTAATGGACTGGCCTGAGGTCTCTCTACAAACAAGCGTCTGCTGGAAGAGAGTAGGTGAGTTGTGTTTAGTCTCTTTGCTAAAGAAATGAGTCAAAGTTAAAAAGATGTTTGGTGTCTAGTACTATGGCTGGGACCCTATATGTCCTGTTGATGAAGTTAGGTGCTGTTCTGAGCATTATTTGTGGCTATAGAGTGGCGTTTTGGTTGAGGTTTGTTTATGGCTCCTCAGACCGCTGTGTATTGCTAACATTCATCTCTTGAGGGGGTGTCTAACTCGGTGTTACGGAGTGTTTGACCCTAAATAAATTTTACGCTGGAATATCCCTTTAAAATCTTCTTGTTCATCCTGGGAAGTTCTCGATTACATTCATCTATCTGTGCGTTTCCTTCCACTTTTCCTGTCATGGTGGCAGCACACTAAACAAGTCGACCCTGACATCCTTCTCTCCAACTTTTCCCAACTCTTCCTCTAAAGAAGTGGGAAACAATCAAACGCCGCAGATTATAACGGTAAATAACGGTAAACCATTCACCTTAACTTCCCCCTAAAACCAAATTGGGGCTGGCCTCCATCCTGGCATGTCGTGACCTGAGATTAACACAGAAATGGATGTCATTCAAGGTGTGAAGAAATGAGGTAGGTAAATAAATAAATGATAGCACACAGTGACATGCTGCAAAATAGGGCCAAGGAGAGAGGAGGCCGTTAGAAATCCATCAGAATGTCATTTCGCGTGTCCGCCTCTCCCTCTCGGCCCATCTCTGCTCATTGCAAACCTCACTCACATTAACCCGTCTACTGAACGCCGGGGAAGGAGGTAGTATTTTTCACCTTTCGTTCAACTCCCCACCTGCATGTAGACACCCACTCCTCACCTTTATCCCTGTTTTTTCTTCTCCTCTTCTACTTTCCTCTGTTTAAGTAAGCCGCACAAAAGGTAATTTCCTTTTCAAATTACAGCAGGCCTCTTCACTGACCCCGATGGCTTTGTGATAATGCAGTGTGGGAGCTGAGAGTGTCTCTGATGAGGGAAGGAGGGGGGGGCAAATGCACTTGCCAGCACTAATGTCTTGTCAACAGCGTACTTGGACACAAGAACCTAAAGGATCCTGCACAGACTCAGATTTGCTGAGCGGGGCAGCTCTGTCAGACTCCTCTGCAGCGTTTTGAGTTACAGAAAAAGATTAGCTTCACACTGAACTTGTCGATGCATGAAAGGTACAGTACAGGCTTTCTAAATAGCCCAAAAGGAGGAAGAAGAAAAAACACTTCTTTGGATAGGAAGCCTCTACAGGATGAGTGAAAGTCTTTCCGAGGTAGCTTTGGGGCTGTTTCCTGATTCATGAGCTAATCGCCTCCTGGTCCAGTCAGGCATGAGAAACACAGAGAAGAAGAAGAGGAGGAGGAGGAGGAGGAGGAGGGTGTCAGGTACAGCGAGGAATACTTTGATATTAGAATTCAAGGCATCTACGTCTTGCCTTGAGCAGGATAATCCCATTATGCCTCAGGTCACAGCGGTGAACGGTGAGAGGGAGAGGGAGAGGCACAACTCACTTCAAAATAAACTGCTTACAGATGACGAGAATAACACAAACAGCCGTCAGAAATAACATCAAACTCCGACTCAAACTGAATTAGAACATCCAATTTATGGGATGAAAAATACTCCAGATATTGAAAAGAGAGGGGAGCAAAATTGGATTAAGAAAAAAAAAAAAAAGAAGTGGGAAAGTTTTTCCATCTCTTACAGTTCATCTCGGGTGTTTTGGAGATCGAGCGGTTTTTCATTACAGACCGTCAGCTTTCATTATGAAATGAGAAAATCTAATTTTGCGTGGTGTATCTGACAGTTTTTCAAACTAATTTCTCCTGTCAAGATAAAGCCCCGGCAAACCCACCAGATGGTGTTTGTGCAAGTGAGAGCTTTGTTTTCGAAAAGAGCAGGACCTCGTCTTGATTCAGAAATGTACTCTTTTTTTTTTGTTGTTGCTCTTTTTTACGTTTTGAAAAGAGAAAATAAAGACTATCCATCTCTGAATCCAACCTGCTGTTTGATAAAACCTTAAAGGACTAACTAGCCGGTTTTGCTCTTTATTAAGATTTATTCATGACTCCACCTGAATTCATTTTACACATCCTTTAATAAAAAATGAAAAACTACCGGTGGAGAGCAGTGAGATTGTGTTGCCCTCATATGGCCTTCTATTAAAATCCGGATTGGTGAGTCACGTCATCTACTTCCAATAAAAATGTGTGCAGCTCCCTGACCACAGATAGAAAACAACATTTTACTAATATTTCCTATTTCAGATGACTGACCGGGGAATTTATTCCACGGAGGAGGAGGAGGAGGAAGAGTGGGAGGACTTTAATCAGCAGCTTCAGAGGCATCAGTCTGTAAAACCTGCAATGAAACCAGCCATAAGCTAATAACCTGCATACTGTGACCCGCCTCAAATAATTTCATTAGTCGGAGTTGGACCGAGAAGATTAATGTGCCGGATGATTCAAATGTAGTTTCATAGTTGTTTTTCTTACGGATGGAAACCAAATAGGAGAAAATTACGAATAAATTTATGGGAAAATGTCATTTAGATAAAAAAGGAGGTCAGTTATGAAATGATATTAGCTTTAAAAAAAAAAGTGGACAGGGAATCAAAAATACGTTTTTTCATATTCTAGCAGGAAACGAATAATGTTCCAATCACATGTCTATTCATATTAAGATATCAGTGTAAGCTAGTTAGCTTAGCCTAGCTTAAAGACATATGTGCCGGACTCTTTCTTGGCAGGCAGGACTCTCCTCTTACTCTCCAGGGGTCTGGCGGAGTCCAAGGAGTCACTGAACCGGGCCAAGAGAAAGTCTGGCACATCACTTCATGTTAATGATATAAATGTGTAATTTTTACACTCAGAGGTGATTAAATGTTCATTTTAAAACTTTAATGCTGTTATTAATGAACAGATAGTTTAAGGGTTAGCTAAGTTAAGCTAATTAGCTGCTAACTCTGGGCTCATGTTTGATATATAACCACATAGAGGTTTTGATTTTATTCATAACAAAGCTATTTTGTTGTGAGGTTGGGTGGGAAGAATTCAAGCTTTAAAAAACGCTCAGAATCGAACAAACTGGTTTTATCACTGTTCCTACTGATTGATCATTGGCGCAAAATACAAACTGAAGTTGACATAACAGCGAATTTGAGACCGTATTTCAACAAACAACATTTTAAAATCACACTGACAACCTTAGTTTGATTAATTTACAGCGATTAGTGATGCTAGAAAACTGGAAAGTCAGCTGTTGGTAATGTTCAGGTTCTTACACACCGAGAACGACGCAAATATTTGACGCGGGTGGAAGCGAGAAGACTGACACAACAGCAGACTGAGTGTTTCTCAGTTCTGATTAGACTCTAGTGTTGAGATGTCTGTCTGTCATGATAGCATGAACTGAGTCGGGGCCAGAATCAGATAAGAACATTAAACTGTAATCCAGTGAAAATACATATGGTATGTTGTATCTGAACAGGTTAGCTTACGAGCTAAAGTTACTTAGCACAGATGAAAGTTCAAACAAAGACGTTTATCAAACTGTTAAAGCTCACAAACCATCGTCAGATGAGAAATCCGACGCTGTGACTCTCCACAAGTCGTCCTTCAGGTCGTTATCTTTGTAATGTTTGTGTCTTTTATCAAAAATCACTCTGTTCTCCGACACGTAAACAATCAGCCGGTCGGCCATGTTGGATATACCGGTGAATCTGACGTCGCAACAACACGCAATCTGATTGGTCAGAAGTGGACACACAGTATGAGAAACTTTAGAAAAATTGACTGTGATGCGAAAAAATAAATGCCACAATATCGCAGGACGGGAAAACGTCACTGATGTGAACGCTTGTATTGACAGGATACGGGTTCGAAAAAAAACATTGACGTCTGAAATAATCAAACATAATAATCGTAACATTACCGAAACCCTCCTCTTACAGATAAAGGTTGTTAAGTTAAAGGACATAAATGCACCGATTCTGCAGGGATACCACAGGTGTCTGTGAGGGGGCCTCAATACAAATCTGCTCAGGACCCCCCTTTTTTCAGAGGCACCCCTGTGTATATAAAGAACTTTTGCTGTTTCCATCACTGATTGATCTGAAAGTGCTGAAATGATCAGGATTTGTCAGATTATCAGTTTTGCAGCCTGCAACAACACGATGGCTAAGTGCCTCCAAGCAAGACACTTGACCACACCTGCCCTTGCTGGCTGCGCCCAGTGGTGTGTGAGTGGGATTGGTTAAAAACAGTTGGTTAGTGCGTTACATATCATACATACATATGATGAGAAAGGCTCTTTGTGTGGTACTATTCCTATTATCTGGTGTAGTACGGGTGTAAAAGACAAAACCATTAACACAATGATCAAATCACTCAGAGTACACCAAATCAGTATTATTACATGAATTACTAGCTTTCAGCTGCAGTGACTGACAGCTCTTTTGTCAGCTCCACCATGATACTTCCATATCTCATTGAAGCACCACTTAAAGCCGTAATACAATAACAGCAGGGATGGCTGGATGCTGAGCTTTTCACCTTTAGAATAATACTTGCATGCCGCTCATTTGGCCGCAATAAAGCAGAAAGTCAAATTGAAATGAACCTAAAGGGATATTCTGGCGTAAATTTAAGTTAGGGTCAAACACACGATAAAATCAAGTTAGACCCCCCTCCAGAGATGAATGTTGTCGACCGCTTACTTCTCTAGTTAAACCAACTTTAGTAACGACTGCAGGATAGAAATACACAGCGGTCTGAGGAGCAACATTTTTGTTCTCATTCATTAAACGCTTAAATAAGGGATATTTCCAGGGACGGCTTTAGTCAGGGACAGGTCCGGGACTGTAAATCGGGGACATCTGGTCACCTTATTTTAGCTTTGCCTGGTTCTTTAGCAAAAAGACCAAACACAACTCACCTACTCTCTTCCAGCAGCCGCTTGTTTGTGGTGGAGACCTGACGAGTCAATCACCGAGTGCAGCGGAAAAATTTGATTGTTACTACATGGAAATGCAATCAGACCGAGATGATAAGGCAGAAGAACTACCGTGTCTGCAGAGCAAAATCGCTGCAAATGATCCGCTGCATTCAGCGATCGACTCGTCAGCCTCAAACAAGCGGCTGCTGGAAGAGAGTAGGTGAGTTGTGTTTAGTCTCTTTGCTAAAGAAATGAGTCAAAGTTAAAAAGATGTTTGGTGTCTAGTACTATGGCTGGGACCCTATATGTCCTGTTGATGAAGTTAGGTGCTGTTCTGAGCATTATTTGTGGCTATAGAGTGGCGTTTTGGTTAGAGACGTAGACCGCTGTGTATTGCTATCGTGCGGTCGTTACTAAAGTTGGTATAACTAGAGAGGCAAGCGGTCATCAACATTCATCTCTGGAGGGGGGGTCTAACTCGGTGTGTTTGACCATGCCAGAATATCCCTTTAACGAAACCATGCAGAACAGCTGTTTTTCATAATTTCTGATGTTCTCGTTTTTTTTTTACATCAAACTCTTCCTAAAAAGATCAGATCTTATAGCCATAACTATTTCTTTTCAACATCCATGAAAGGGAAAAACATGACTGGACTGAGGATTGTGATGTGCACAGGTGGTCTCTGCTGGCACAACAGGTGACTTATCTACAATTCGCGATCCGTGACCGGTGCCAAACTCGTCCCATGTGCATCCTGCCCGCCTCATTGTACTGCAGAGAATGAAACGCCGGAGTCAAAAGCCGCACACAGAATTATCAAACAGCCAGCCCTCACATCCACACCGCCGCTCCCAAACACGCAGAATACATTTCCATTCAACTTTTGTGAAGGTCTTTTATGGCGGAGCAACAAAACCCAGAGGAGCAGTGGCATGAAAAGATCTTTCATTATTAATAGAATATTAGCCCACATAAAGGTGGATGACTGAAGGATTGTGTTCCAACACTGCAGGGGCTGTAAAGTGCACAGAGGTTAATTCTCTGATCCAAGGGCAGATTTGTATCATTGTTTGTAGATAGAAAGGCTTTTTTTCCTGGGGATTGGATTCATGTCTTCCCTCTCTGTTCCTTGGAGCACTGCGGAGGATTGCCTGGTCTGATTAATCTTAATGAATTATGCAAATGGCCCTTATCTCAAATGATTTAGCAATGTTTCTGTATTGTTTTATTAATGCACTTTTGAATTACTCTGTATAATCACGTAGCCTTTCCCTTAGCCGTTTGCTGTTTGTAATTCATCGCCAGCTCTTTATTAAATCCATGGTGGTCTCAGGCGAATTGCGCGCAGGAATGAGAAATTAGTCATTACTGTAATTTAATGATTTCAAACCAAACAAGAGGCAACCTGGATCGCTACTCACAGCAGCCCTCTGCACCCCCGCCCCCCCTCAGCGCCGCTCCCTTGGGTCTGATCTTTGGATGCCAGCCATCTACATTTTTGCTTAATTAATTTTGTTTGGTTTAAGGAGCGGTGCATTGTGCGACGAATGCACTGTTTCAATTACAGAGGAAAATTGACTTACAAAAAATAAAATTTCACATTAAAAGCTGTTTTGTTTGGAGTCTAGACGCCTTCGTAATTGCTTTCTCGGCTTCAATGTGCAAATTTCTGTCACAAATAGACTTATTTATTCATAGATGTTATGCTGATGTTGATTCTGTAGTCAAATTCACGACAGCCGAACAGAAAAATTACATATCAGATGTGTCAGAGCAAGGACCCATGTATTATTAAGCCATGGTTTCCTATCCCCAAGGTGTAAATGCCACATACGGGTGAAATATGAGCACATCTCTACCTTCTGTGAGCAGCCTGCCCGTAACCATTTTGGCCTCTATAGAGAGGAGAATGGAGCTCTATGAAATGAGAATATCAGCAGTAAAAACAGACATCTCATTCTCCTTCGGACTGAACACACTTTAGCCACCGGGGCCAAATAATCTTGATAACAGTGAGCTTTGTGTTCCATCTTTGTCCGTTTCTTACTAACCTCATCCTCCACGCTAAAGCTGAATCCCCAGGAAGGTTTATTTTTGTGCACTTTTAATGACACGCACTAACAGTTTTTCATTTATTATTATTTTGGACATAGACTCTATCAAAAGAGTTTAAAAAAGTCACAGTGACATGATTTTGAAGCATCGAGTCTGGTATTTTAAAATTTGCAGCCAGAAGTCTCCATAATTGGATGACAAATTGTCAATTGCAATGTTCTGTCTTTATCCTGGTTGACAGGTCGCTGTGGTAATGATTCGCCATTAGCAGGCAGCATAAAGTATCATCCCAGAAAGCATTACTCCATCTTCTTGTCATTTTTCTCCAAATGAAGCCAAATGTGTCGCCTAATTACAAATTAGACTTAACGAAACAGACATTAGTCATTCTGGAAAAACTTTGAGGAGAAGAACCATAGAAAGGTAACAGCTTGACATCACAGTTTAAGTAACAGCGACGGCCTATGAGTGTATTTATTTTTGAGATTTTCCCCAAAGGATCAATTGTATCCCGGGTTTTGTGTTTTATAATAGATAAGATAATAAAAGATTATAAAAGTTTAGAGTGTTACTAGATTTTAAAAAGGCTTTTAACTATGTAAAAGGTTTTAAAGCTGCTGTGAGGAACTTTTAATGTGTGTTATAGTTGGCGCCCCCTGTGGACAGTCTTGGTTTCTACATGTTGAAAAACAAATACAGTTGACTTACGAATTCACGAGAGCTCGCCTGGAGGAAAGTGAGTGAGGAGGTCGGATTATCTGGTAAGTCGTGAAAAACCGTTGTCTGTCACATGATCACGCCGGTTGGATTGGCAAGGAATTAGCATAAGCAGCTATCCACGGTTTTTTAGCACTCTGGTGACGCATGAATGGACTGAATGGACTGAATGATTCTTCCGAATAGAGCGGACATATGTGCGAGTGAAGCGAGTCGATGACTTTACTCGCGCTTACTCACCCCAATAAAATGAGAGTTCTGAGACATGAGTCAGAATCCAGAGGAGAAAGTCAGAACTCTCAGAAACTTCTGTAAAAAAAAGAGTAACTTAGATTAAAGTTTGCGTTTCTCCTCGCCCGGAGATGCTCTGCAGATGTTCTTTAAGAAGTTTTGAGTACTCAAAAGTTTTTACCAAGTTAGCAGCTCTGTGAGGAAGTTCTCAGAAAGTTTGTGAATACAGACATTGGATTTGAAGCAGGCGTCGTTTTACAGGAAATAATCCCACCACCAATCTTAAACCATCGTTTGGTATCACTGATTTAACAAAATAAAAGCAGGCCTCCTTCAGCGGGTAAAGGTAGTCTGGGTGAGTACGACTGGAACAGTTTTTTTTAAGTCCGATTTTAGATGTCAGCTGAAGTTTTCTTTTGACATGAACAAGATGTAATTTGGTAATTCTCTGAGTTTTACTTCAGGCTCATTATACTCAACATTACATACGGATCCGGATATTGAACTCTCCATCTGTGCCTCTCGTTCTTTTCGTTTGTATTTCTGCACGTATCCTTGAAGTTTACGGATAGCAGTACCACCGGAAACCAAGGGGGCAGTGTTGCTGCTGTAACAACCCGATATGCATCTCTAGAGAGAAACAAAGAAGACAGTGTCGGGGCTTTTTAAGGATCATCGTCATTTTCTCTCATCAGTGAGACTAGAGAAAAGAATCCCCTGTCCTCCAACTGCGAGGCGTTTATTGGCCCGACCGACCACCGCCTCCTCCAACGCTGCCTCTGTTTCTGTCTCATATGCAAAATATCCATCATCACTCGCTCCACCACAGTCGCCATGTTTCTTTTTGTCTGTTGTTGTCAGAAACTTTTGACTCCGGCCTGCCCCCTGGTGGATGTAATGGTTAACATCCATCCTAATGTAAAGGTCGCAGTAACGGAACCATCGTTTGAAACGGACGCGTACGTTTTCATACGTATGGCGAGCATAAATGAGTCTTTAATCTGTCCTAGTTTGGGGCTGTAAAGGTCCTTACACATCGGGAATGACGCAAATAGACGACACGAAATTACGAAATATTCTGCGGCGAATTTTGACGCGCCTGACCATACACATCAATCGCGATGCGATTTTGCGACTTTCCGGGCAGAAAAAAAGACGCAAACTGTTAAATCGTCATATGAGAAATCCGGCGCTATGACTCTCCACAAGTCGTCGTTCAGGTCGTTATCTTTGTAATGTTTGTGTCTTTTATCAAAAATCACTCTGTTCTCCGACACGGAAACAATCAGCCGGTCGGCCATGTTGGACACACAGTATGTGAAACTTAAGAAGATTCGACCGTGATACGAAAAAATAAATGCCGCAATATTGCATAACGGGAAAATTTTGCTGATGTGAACGCTTGTACTGACAGGATACGGGTTTGAAAAGAAATATTGACGTCTGAAATAATCGCACAAAAAAAAAAACGCTCCTGGTGTGAAAGGACCTTCATTTTCTCGACCTGTAGAAGAATCCGATAAACGACAATCAAGACTTTAAAAACCCAGATTTTTCCAAACAGTTATTTCCATTTAGATAGATTTATTGAGATAATATTGACATGTTTGTATCAATGGTCGTCACCGGGCTTTGAAAACAACATATACCATTAAAACATTTTGGCAGACTCAACTGTATTAACCCCTCGGTGACTTTTAGCTGAACATCATCATTACATTATACTTTTGTGGGTGTTATTGTTGTGGCTTCGTCTTTCAGCTTAAGAAAGAAGACATCTTACTAAACTTAAGATAGCCGGAGACTTCAGAGTTTTTTTTTCTTTGTTTTTTTTTTTCCCAACAAAAAGAAACATTAGAGAATTTTTGCTTCATAAGGCTAAAAGGAATGAAAAAGCTTATGATCTCACTTGATCTTCAACACAGATATGCATCAAGAGTCTTGGGAACTCTTTGTGGCGAGAAAGTAACACAAAGTTTCACATCACATGGTTTTGTTCTTACGGGTGATACCTCTTTTTTTCTGGTGTAATCCACAGTCTTTCAGTCAATAAATATCTTCATGGTTCTCAGAGTCTTTGAGTCAATAGGAACAAATCTATAATACAAAGAGAGATTTGGTGGGCAGTAGAGTTCAGCTACTGTTGATGCTGGATCTAAAGTCAGGAATCTTTTTTGGAAATGAAGTCTTAAAGTGAAGCTCCCTGCTCCTTTTCTCTTTTTCCAATCCGCTCAGAGGAATGTCCGTGGTTTTGTCCTTGTTGGTCCCTTGTTTCCACCAGATCTTTAAAACACATAATATCCAACAGCCTTTCGGTGTCGGTCAGAAAAACAACGCTGCCCGGCTCCCAACAAGGTCATCCCGGCATCAGATGATGACTATCGTGTGACCTGGAGAGAAGAAAGAGAGAAGAAGAAAGCAGAGCGAGGATTGAGGCGAAAATGGTGTCAGTGACATGAATGGATACAGGGGATATAAAAGGATTTGAGTCATTACTGATGACAAATGGTAGTAACACTCTCAGAAACGGTGCTGTCTGACAAGCAGTGTGACAGAAAGCAGAGAGAGAGGAACGACTAAATTGCTGTATTTATTACCGTTGAGTCATTTTTAACAACGATGAAGCGTCAAATCTGGACAAAAATGAGCTTAATGTGTCACCAAATAGACTGAGAGTAATACAAACTCAGCACACAGGCATAATGGTTGGTAAATTATGTGTCTAGACATTAATATGATTACAATAGGCACCCTGATGGAGTCCTAATAAGGGCTGCAAGTAAAGAATATTTTCATTAGTGCTTAATCGATTTTAAGAGCGTTTTGGCCAAACAGGACAAAAATCGACAGTGCCTTTATCTGTTTATATGAAAATCCCCAAATGTGACCTCTTTACAAAAACAGACAAGAGGAAAACCAGCAAATATTCACACCCGACAGGTTGAAAACTGTCATTTCTACCTTTTCTTTCTCTGAGATATAAATGACTTAAAAGATGGAAGTGTTAAAAGTAAAAAGTGTTGGTCTTGTGATCGGCTAATTTCCAAGTCGTTGGAGCAGAAATTTCAATCTCGGCGAATTGAGTCGTCAAAGTCTGAGTTTTGGTCATTTTTATACCAGTTCAACCAAACAGTCCAAAAACTTCATCTTCACATCTTTGCTTTCTGATAAGCTATTGTGTTATTCCATCAGTAATATATATGATTTACGAAGGATTTTTAATCGTTAATATCGGAGCTGTTTAGGATTTGTGATTCCAAGTCGCTGAGGCTCCGATCATCTTCTACGTGGATCAGAGAGAAAAGAGAAATCTCTCTGAACACACCTTAACCACAGGATGTGCTGGAAAGATAACCTTTAGGACCATCTGATATGTTGTTCAAGGGGGGGCTTCCTTAAAACTCCTGTGAGGAATTTTGATATGTGTGTGGCGCCCCCTGTGGACAGAACAGTCTCTGCACCACATGGTGTCTCCTGACAAAAAAACAAATCATACAAACTTCTAACAGTCAAATGTATTATTTAAAGTGAGTGTTTGATGCTGTAACTGCGAAACATCGTGGTTTCTTCATCTGTTTGATGAAAACCAAGGGAAAGTTAGGGCTGCACGATTTTAGCCAAAAATAAAATCCTGATTTTTTTCTCTGAAATCGAAATTTTCAATTTTTTTGGTTTTATATTCAGTGACAACTTCCCCAAACTTCACTTTAATAAAAAGTTTTTCTTTCATCTCTCAAAACTAAACCTCTGAAAATGATGTAGTTCATATGCCAAGCCAGTAAGTGGCGCTGTAACGCTGCACAGGAAATACACAAAAGACAGAAGAAGAGTACAGAGCACGTGTATAAAGGTTGTTTTGGTCGGACACGTGCAGGCGCCATAAAAGAGTTACTCTGTGTGTCACATGATCATTTCCAGAGATGCAGATAGACATCCACACAGAGATGAAATGGTCGTCGTTTACAGATTAATTCACTCTCTGACCCGTTTTCAAAAAGCACTGTTTACAGTCACCTGATTGCCGATACAACAAAATAATCTAGCGTTTCCTCCTGAATTTGTTTCCGTGGTGACGGGTTGATACCGCCTTCAGACAGACTTTACAGCGGGGAGTGGTTTACTCTTCATCTGAAACTGTGAAGTCGTACCAATTCAACACGACTGACTCACTCTTGTCCTATTTAACCACGAAATTATCGCCTTCTTTTACAAACGACATGTTTGTTTACACTGATGTGGCAACTGGGGAGCCTACGGTGGCCTGGAGGTGCGAGACATGATAGAGAGGAAAATCGATTTGATGATTTAAAATTTCTTTTTAACATCGTCAAAACTAAATAATCCGATTAATCATGCAGCCCTATTATCAGTCCTGGTATTGATGATCTCATGTGCTTTAAGAAATCATAAAAGACAACAATATACAGTTTACGTGTTCAAACCTAAAAGCTGACTCCCTGCTGTACTTTGTTGCTAATATCATCAAAACGATCCCTGTTTGATATCAAAAAGATAAGCCTTGAGAACCCTCTGTTATTAGTATTTAACTCTGATAACCGCATTTACTGTTTTGACTTATCAGCGGATCAGTCATTTCGGCTCGACTTCCTATTGTGGCGTTCTCATTAAAACAAACTCTCGCTAAGTGCTGAACATCCAGCTCCAGCCTGTCTGTCAAACACCTGACAGGTTCAAGGTGTGTGTTTTCCCAGATGGCTTGTTTGGGATTCAAACATCTGTGGTGCCATACACAGAAAAAAAAAAAAAGAGTGTGAAGACACGGAGCGGCGCCGAGTCAGATGTAAAGCAATGTACACGGCGCTCAGTGATTTCCATGCAAACAGGAGGAATATTATTATTCATGATGGCATACTGCTGGCATAAGTATTCTCCGACGTTTCCATGAATATTAATCTGAAGATTGAAAGATTCAGTTTGTACCATTCTCACTTTAAGCAGAACTCTAAAAATACTCTCCGAGGTGAATGTTGTCTCTTGTTGGTTTGTCCTTTAAAAGTAGAACACGGTAACTTTTTGACGTGCCCTCAGATGTAGCACACACACACACACACATACAAACACAGGTGTGTGTGCATGTGAGAATATTCAGGAGTTATTGTGATCCAATTTGGAGCCGACAAGGTTTCACAAGATGAACCGACAACAGGTTTTACCGTACACAATCGGTCTTCCAAGCCACGCATTTCTAATCGTTTGTGGAAGTGTGATTTTTCTGCTGCTTTGAACTGCAGCTGAAACACGCCGCTCGCTGTTTGGGGAGCCACAATTTAATTTTCACCTCCATGTGACAATCCTCAGGAATCAGGAGTGTGAGAGTGCGTATGAAATTATTTGGTCCTGCTACAGTTGCAGCAGCAGCAGCAGGCTGCAGACAAACATTCATGCATGATATTAAGCCAGGTTGTTTGGTTCCAGCATTATTGTCGGCAAACAGTTTTAGAAATGGACTCTGGCACGTTTTTAGTTTTCCTGGCAGCAGTTCTTTGGATTCACGACCGAAGCCTGAAAATCAACACAAAAGGAATTAAAAGCACAAATACTGAGAGTTGATATTTTCAAGTTGGATCGTCCACACGCCCTGAGCTCGTTCTTCTGCTTTACAACTTTACAACCCCGACGCCAAAAAAAAAAAAAAAGGCGACAAAGGAGGAGTATGATGAGAACTTTAAGCCCGTATTTTGCACCTGGACTCTTCGACTACGGAGTCATGCTGTTGCCATAGTAACGTATGTTCCTCCCAAACCTAAACAGACTGTTCAGCATCGATGGTGCCTCCCAGAATGTGTAAGCTGTCCACATCATCGGCGCTTCTGTATCTCCAGGATATTACAGATGCTTCTGAACTGTGAGCTGAAAACAAGCCGGGTGGTCCCTCTTCACTTCACAGCAGAAGACGCGTCTAAGATTTCCAAAAAGGATGTCACAGACTTTAGTTCAGTTTCCAATTTTCCTTCAGTTCATCTTAAATCGACCCACGTACAGTTTTAACTTGTTTTTGTTTTTTATTCTGCACAAGTTCTGAGCGCACAGATCTGTCTCCTATTTTAAGAAATGACGGGACAATGTGTAAAATATTGATATGACAACAAACACAGTGGTTTTTGGGAGCGGTTTTGAGCCCATGCTGTGATTACCACGACAGAACCATGTCTGTTTTTAACGCGGTGCTGCCAAAGGGTCTCTGTCTATGACGGTCTATGACTTCAACAGTTTGAATATTTGTGTTTTCCATGTTTGAATTAAACATGGGGCTCAAATGATTTAAAAAGCATCAAAATCTAGAGTTTCCCAGTTTATGTAACTGGGGTTGTATGTCATTGAGACGGCGGCCATCTTCCTCCCA